CCCCCCCCCCCGCGATGCCTGGGCGCTGTCCGTCGCGGCGGTGATACTGATTGGACTCTCCCCCAAATACCGCGTGCAGGAAGAAGAGGAAGAGGGACGAGCAGTGGGCGGAGAAGAAGGCTGCTGCCACCGTCGCGGTGAGGGACGGGGCTCGCCAGCGTGCAGTGCCAGTGGCCGTGCGAGGGGTGGACACTTCGCTCGACCCCCGCCTCCGTCCCAAATCCCACCACAGGCTCAGAAGAAGGCCCGTGCTAACCGGTCGGAGATCTTCAAGCGCGCCGAGCAGTATGTCAAGGAGTACCGCTCCCAGGTACGAGCAGGAAGGCGTGGCGTTGGCCGGGGAGGATTGCGAGGGATGGCTGCCATGGATTGCAGGCAGCCGTCCTGTGGTGTGGATGCTAGCAAATGATCCACATCTGTTGGAGAGGGTGAATCGTGACCTATGGCATCGTGCTGGAGAACAAGCATGGCCATCTGGGGCGAGGGTGGTTCCCAGCACATGGTCTGGCGGCCTTCCCCGGGCAGCACCGACTATCGGGCTCTTCTATCCTGCAAGATGTGCATGTGACCATGTCTCCGTCAGGGAGGTGTGCACTTGACCCTCGGGATTGATCAGGTCCCCCGTGGCCCGGACACACCACCACCTCATCCTCATACTCCCCCCCCCCACCACCACCATCCCCCAATGCAGGAGCGCGACCTGATCCGGTTGAAGCGCGAGGCCAAGGCCAAGTCCGGCTTCTACGTCGAGCCCGAGGCCAAGCTGCTGCTGGTGGTACGCATCCGCGGTGTGAACGACATCGCGCCCAAGACCAAGAAGATCCTGCAGCTCCTGCGCCTGCGCCAGATCAACAACGCCGTCTTCCTGAAGGTGAACAAGGCCACGCTGAGCATGCTGCAGCGCGTGGAGCCCTATGTCGCCTTCGGCTACCCCAACCTGAAGTCGGTGCGCGAGCTGATCTACAAGCGCGGACATGGCAAGGTGAACGGCAACCGCATCCCGCTCACCGACAACTCCGTGGTGGAGGGCGTGCTCGGCAAGCACAACATCATCTGCGTGGAGGACCTGATTCACGAGATCTTTACCGTGGGCCCGGCCTTCAAGCAGGCAAACAACTTCCTCTGGCCCTTCAAGCTGTCTGCGGCCAAGGGCGGGCTCTCCCACAAGCGCCTGCACTTCATCGAGGGCGGCCAGGCCGGCAACCGCGAGCACTTCATCAACAACCTCGTCCGCGCCTCCAACTAGATGCCTGGCCAGGGCTGCTGGTGATGTTACGTGTGTGTAAGCACGCTGTCCTTCCGAAGCCGGGCACACAAGGGGGGCAAGATCTTGAGGCTGGACTGAGGTGAAGTGTCTCCAAGTAGACAGCAGTGAAGCGGCAGGCGCTCCCAAATCGATGCCCAATTCTCGCCAAAGACCACCAGGATGAGTGAGGGGCCAAGGGTGAGCAAAGGTCTTTCGGGCCCGGTGGTGAAATGGGACAGCAAGGTCCCCTTGCAATATGCTGTCGACATGCCGGGAGCCGGTGATCCCGTACCCGGAGTACCCGATGCCCATCACGAGATCGCCACGTCCTGGGAGATCGCCTGATAGGTCTAAACCAATGGATGGAGGCATTTCATGCTCCTTCTCCCCGGAACTATGCCTCCATGGGGAGGCCTGGTGCGGGCTGGGACACGATGCGCCCTGGTGCAGGCCCCACCAGGAACCCGGCTCTGGCAGTCGGGCCATGGCCTGCGCCATCTGGTCGCGCGCAATGCGCCGAGCGGCCGATCTGCACGCACGCTGAGGATCCATGCTAGTGAAAATGGTGGCGATCCCATCCTTCCTCCTGTCGGCAAGGGAGCGCCGGGCCTGGTCAGAGTGGTCCTCAAGGGCGCCCTCAAGTACGCGCATGCATGGATTTACGTGCATGTGGCTTAGGGACCGACCACCATACCGCATTGCAAGATGTTTGGTACCATTGTGACTATCGTGCCGCAGCCCAGGACAACTGGGGATTTGCCTGGCCTTCATCGCATGTTTCCCACGTCTTGGTCCCCAGCGCTGGGCCCCATCTTAGCACTCCATGCCCCCTCCCACCCACCCCCCTCTGAATCTAGAATCCTGGGGTCGGTGGTGCTGTTCTCCAGCCTGGTGCTGGGCTCCGCCCCCTACCTCCTGTCAACCAAGTTCGGTCTGGAGACGGCGCTGTTCGCGGCCAATGTGGCCATGCCCGCCACGCTCAGCGTGGACGGGGTGTCTGCCGGCTGGGGCAGGCCGCTGTCCATCCATGGCATTGTGCTGTCCGAGGAGTGGCGCAGCGCGGGGCCCAGGCAGGACCGGCAGGCCGGGGAGGAGACCGGGCTGGCCCCGCCGGGCGCGCAGCGCCCCCTGCTCCAGATCGAGCGCGTGACCTCGAGCGCCCCACTCCACTCCCTGCTGACCAGCCGCGCCCCGCTCACGCTGACGGTGCACCGCCCGGTCGCGGACGCGACGCTGGGGCCAGACGGCACGCTGCGCCTGCTGGGCCTGCTGGAGCGCTGCGGCCTGCTGCGCTCCCCCGCCCCCTGCAGGCGGTGGCCCCCGCGACCTGCTGTGCGGCGCGGGGGAGGCAAGGCGACCCGCGCCACCGCCGACCTGAAGGAGCGGGTCGTGCTGGCCCGGGCGCTGGGGCGGGGCGCCGGCCGCGCAGGCCGTCGCGCCAACGCCCGGGCCGCCGCCGGCGGCCAGCGGCAGGGAGGGTCGCATGATGACACTGACGCCGGGTCTGGCAACTCCAAGGACTCGGCAGGGGACCAGGCTCAGCAGCACGATCCGGAGGCGGCGGAGGTGAAGGCCGCCGCCTTTGGCTGGCGCCAGGCCACGCGCCGCTTCCGGCTGCCGGCGCTCGAGGAGGAGAGCAGCGCGGGGCGCGGGTCGGAGCGCCGGCCGTTGATCCTGGTGCGGCCAGAGGGCGCGGCCGCCCCCGCGCCGCACGCCTGGGAGGAGGAGCCGGCAAATAAACCGCTGTCATTGCGCGAGCTGGCGGTGCGGCTGTGGCGCGGGCGGGAGGGCCGAGCGCAGCGCGAGGCGCGCGCGCGGCGGTCGCGCGGCGCGGTGCCCCCGGCGCTCCAGCGCGCCGACGCGGCCGTGGCCTTCTCCGGCGAGCTGGTCACGCCCTGGGTGCACTGCCAGACAGCCGACGGCGCGCTCAACCTACCCCTCGCCTTCAAGGAGGCTGCCGGCGAGCACGTGCACATGGAGGTGCTGCAGGGCCTGGCCGCGCTGGAGGAGGCCGGAAAGGATGGCGTGGGCGAGGACCTGGCCTGGGCGCAGCGCAGGCCCCAGATGCTGCTCCCCCTTGCGGCGGGTGGGGGTGGTGGGGGTGCTGCTGGGGGTAGAGGTTTTGAGCGGGGGAGTTTGTGAGGTGGCATGCATGCCGCCGGCCCATGGGCGTCCCCCAGCCTCTCAGCTGGGGCATCAACAGCCGCCATGCTGTAGTTTTACGGCGCAAGCCCTCTCCCTGCCGGGCCCCCGCTCCCTGATGTGTGCAGAGCCCAAGAGCATGACACATCTATGCTGCTCTTCCTTTTACGCTCCCACCCCCATTCAGCCCGGTTCCCACCCCTGTGCTGCTCGATCAACCATCCTCCCTTCCCCCGCACAGGCCGGCCCCAGCTTCCCACCAGCATCCGCGTGGACTCCCGGGTTGCGCACGGCACGCTGCGGGGCTGGACCACCAGCCAGGGCTACACGCTGCTCACCGCCCCGCTGGAGCTGGCGCTGGAGTGCCTGCCGCCGCTGGCCCGGCGCCTGCTGGCGCGGCTGAACCCGCTGCTGGGCGCGACGCTCACGCTGGGGCCCGAGGACCGGCCCCTGGCCGTGCGCCTGAGCGTGGTGCCGCAGGACGCGCTGCTCCCCGCCGCGGCCTGCCTGGTGCGGGTCGACCCGCTGGAGGTCACGCTGTCCTCCAGTGGCGCGCTGCTGGAGCCGCTGGCGCGCCTGCGCTCGCTGGGTGGCGCCGTGCCGCGCCTGCCCGAGCGCGTGAGCGCGGGCGTGTCCGGGCTGGAGGCGGTGGTGGACGACGGCGGCGGGCTGACCGCCGCGGCGCTGGACCTCACGCTCATGCTCCCCGCTCGCACCCGGGTGGGGCTGACCACCTGGGGCAGCGCCGCGCTGCACCACCCCGAGCGCCTGGACTGGGTGGTGGCGGTGCCGGGGGCCACGCTGCAGGCGCTGGGCGTCCGGGGCGTGGAGGAGGACCGCGGGGTGGCCATGCTCGTCACCGGGTCGCCCCTGGCCCCGACACCGCAGCTGGCGAGGTGTGGTGATGTGTTGTGGTGGGGGCCGGGGTGCAGAAGTGGGTCGAGGTCAGTGCGAGGCAGGCATCTGACCCAGGCAGGCACGAGGTGGCGCCCCTCAGTGAGACTCCTGTCGGTCCTGCGATGGCCACTCAGCCGACCCCAGGGGCCCCGCCCCCAAGTCCCCCCTCTCCTGCTTTCCTGCCCAGGTTCGGGGCTGACCTGGCGCGCGTGATCGTCACCCAGGCCGCCGGCGACACGCTGCGCTCCAAGCGCTCCCCGCTCTCTGTGCTGCCAGACTGGCTGGCGCAGCACGTCAGCCTGGGGCTGGAGGGCGATGCCGCGCAGGGCACGGTGCAACTCCCGCCCCCGTCTAGTCAGCGGGACAAAGGCGAGGAGAAGGTCGGAAAAGAGGAAGACTCGGATGCCTCGTAGAATTGTCAGCGGAGAAACACCATGGTGCAGGAATCAGGCGCTGCCTCGTACATTTGCCCTCCTCTGTATGAAGAAGGGATTGACCCTGAGCTCACAGCCGGCATGTCATCACGCTTCAGAAGGCCCAGCCGATGCTCAAGGGTGCAGCCTGGCCATGGCCCATGGATTTCATGTGTGCTTGCATGGGTGCCCTCATCCTGTACCTGCTCGCCATTGGCAAGAAGGTTTGTCTCATTAGCATACTGCGTCTCTCCTACAAGGGACAGCAATACCTCTCTTCCCCCTGCAACAAACAAATGATGCTCGCTTCTTAGTGAACATGGTCAGGCCGGCCTTCCCAGGCTTTCAAGCCCTTCATGAACAGCAGGGCTTTGCTTGGTGACTGGTCACAAAAAGGTAGATCTTGGTGGACCCCTCTGCGGTCCGTGGCATGCATGTTCAGAGGATGATCCGAGTAGGTTCCTAGTTGGTCGCTGCACAATGCAGCGACATCGGCTTGGGCCCGACAATATGGGCGGCACGAGTGAGGCTCTATCCTGGATAGACATACTGAAGGCAAAACATGTAGTAGCAAAAGGAGAGGGACTGGGTACGAGAAAGCGAGGAAAATGAGTGTTTCAATATCCTCCACCCTTGCCCAGTACAGCGCATGGGGTGAGGAGTCTCTGTCCGACAGGGTTTTGTCGATGAGGAGGGCGAAGAATGAAAGGGCAAGTACTGGGACCGAAAAGATGGGTGAGGAGCTGGGCGCAGTGGAGCCGCCCAGCCCATCAGTGGCCGGCAGCAAACCCTGTCCGGGAGCCGCCCTCGCGGCTGCCACAGCCCAAAAACGAAAGTGTGGGTGGCCGGTGGCGACGCTCAGTCGCGCTCTGCCCGGGGGCTCAGGGGCCCTGCCTGCTTGGCGGCGGCCTCCTCGGCGCGCGCCCTGCCTGCGATCCTGCGCAGCCTGTCCACGACGGTGGGGAAGTCGGGCCGGGCCGCGGGGTCCTCCGCCCAGCACTCCTGCATCAGCGCGATCCAGCCAGGCCCTGTGATGGGATGAAGGGGGGGAGCAGCAAGGGTCAGGGGGCGTTGGACGGGGGCCGACGACAGGGGCGTCGGATACCCTTGGATCTGGGAACAGGTGCCCTGTACAGCTGCGAACCCGAGCTCCTTGGCATGCCCAGTGCGGCTGTGGCTGTGGTGAAAAAACCCTCGTCCCTCCAGCAAAGTGCCCAGCGCTCGTGGGTGCGCACCAGGCTCGACCACGCTGCCCAGCTCGCCGTCCAGTCCTGGCACGGGCGGCCGGATGACATCCCGGGTGTTCACCAGGCGGAGCAGGTAGGCAGACAGGTCGTCCTTGAAGGGCGCGGCCATGGTCAGCGCCTCCCACATCACGATGCCAAACGAATAGATGTCCACCTGGAGTGCAGACAGGAGAGGGGTTGGGGAATGGAAGGGGGACCTTAGAAGGCCCGCCACAAGCAGACCGACGATGCCCGGCGCACTTGCCGCAAAGTGACTAGCCGAGGGGGCGAGCAGACTCACGTGCCCCGGTCGGTGCGCAGGCGCAGTGATCCATGGCCGCCAGCCGTCCCAGCCACCCAGAGTCGACATTGCCTGGTCACCGACCCACACGAGCCGAGAAACAGCAGGGCCCCTCACCTTGGCCGACATGGTCTCCGGCGCCCTGACGATCTCCGGCGCCGTCCAGGGCAGGACGCCATGGCTGCTGGGCATTGGGGCGTGCGTTCCCACGTGGCTGTGCCGCGACATGCCGTACCCACAGACCTTTGCCACGGGGCGCCGCCCGCGCCAGCCCAGCAGGATGTTGCTGTGTGGGGCAGGAGAGGGGGGAGTGAAGGGTGGAGTGCATGGTGAGCAGATCGCAGGGTGTGACGCGAATGCTGCCTGGGCGTCCAGCGCGCCACCAACCCCAGGCTTCAGGCGCCCCGGCAGGGTCGACCAGGATGCCTGGGCGCCCGTTCAGGGACACACGAGCGCCGGCACTTGCACCTTGAGGGAGGGGGGATACACGCGTGCGCCGGCCCCGTTCCACCCCCCCACCCCCCCGGCCGCCCCTTGGCTCCCGGGACTCACGAGGACTTGAGGTCAAAGTGGGTGACGCCCTTGGCGTGCAGGTCTGCAGGAGTGAGTGGTCGGGGGGAGGGGCATGGCCCGAGGCTCTCCTGCGCTGCAGTCCGGCGCCTGCACGGCGTCGCCCCCGGCCCCGGCCCCCACCCCGCCCCTCCGCGGCATCGGGCCCCTGGCCAGCCCCCGCCCCCATCGCACACTCACACTCCATGGCGCGCGCGGTGTCGAGGAGGAAGCGCAGGCGGTGCTGGCGCCCCGCCACGACGTCGTCGCGGCGGTGCAGCGCGGTGCCCATGCTGCGCCCCGACACGTACTCCATGATGACGGCCGGCCCGCGCACCAGGCGCCCCGGCAGGCGCTGGTGGGCCTGCGCGAGGTTGACCCCGGGCCCACCCGGGCCCGGCGGCGGCGGCGGCGCGGCGGGGGCGGCGCCGGCGGCCCCCTCCCCCTCCGGCAGCACGAAGCCGTAGACCTCGGCCAGGTTGGGGTGGCGCAGGCTGACCATCTCGGCGCGCGCCGCGAGGAAGTCGAGCCAGTCGCGCCGCCCCGCGCGCTCCATGCCCATGAGCGCGGGGTTGATGACCTTGACGCCCACGTCGCAGTCGCGCCAGCGCCCGCGGTACATGTCGCCGTAGGTCCCGGCGCCCAGCATGCTGGACAGCCACACGTCCCCCGGCGCGGCCACCTCCAGGCGGTCGCCGCGCGCGGCGGCGGCGCGCAGGTCGCGCGCGCTGGCGTGAGCGGCATGCACCGGCCCGGAGGCCAGGTCGTCATCGTCGTCCGCGGTGTCCGCCGCGGAGCCCATGGAGCTGCCCAGGGTGGGCGGGACGCAGAGGCCAACCTCGTCCGACTCCGACTCGGAGGGCCGCACCCAGCCCCAGCGCGAGGACAGGAAGAGGTGGAGCTTGGTGGGGGCCAGCCCCGCGTCCGCCAGGCCCGCGTTCTTGTCCACCAGCTCGTCCCACATCGCCGCCACGTCGGCGTCGTCGACCAGATCCACCAGCGTGTCGGGGTCCTGCGGCAGGCGGTACCGCATCGTGAACACCGCCTGCACGTGGTGGGAGAGGGGAGGGGGGGCGTCCTCGGGGGCTCAACCATCTCGCCGCCGCGCGGCACATGTCGCCGCAACCCCGCCGACGTAGGCACCCCGCCGGGAACACTCGAGCCACGGGGGCCAAGCCCCTGTGGCGTGCGAGAACCGGCCCCCACCAAACCCTGCACATCCCAGACGCGTCACCGGAATCCCCCGCCTCACCCGCTGCGCCGCACCGGCGCCGCCCGAGGCGCGGTCGGCCAGGGCGCGCACGCGCGGCGAGCCCCCGCCGGTGGGCGCCCCCCGGCCCTGCAGCGCGGCGGGGCAGGTGCGCACCAGGCAGTTGCGCAGCAGCTCTGCGCGCGACGTGGTGAAGGGCAGGGCCACCAGGCGCGTGAACTCGCGGCTCAGGGAGGCCTCCGTCCCCGGGGCGCCGGGGTCCGGGGCCATCGCCGGACTGGTTGTCACCAGAACTCGGACCTGGGGAGGAGTGGGGCGGTGGGGTGCAAATGGGCCCGGGGTGTTCCTTTAGGTGGCGCGCAAGTATCAGAGGGGGGGAAGTTGAGGTGGATGACCTCACGCAACGTATGACCCGCGGCCAAAGCACTGGGTTGACTCAGAGACACACACACACGGAGAAGACAGTCTGAGGAACGCATGTGCGCCTCCTTCTCCGCACCCACAGCCACTTCATCGGCAAAACATCTCTCACGCTCCTCCCACAGGCCACGTGCTTCCCCTGCCCCGTGCAGCACACCAAAATCAGCCGGCACCAGCTCTCACCGTCCTCGCCGGGGCCAGGCGCGGCCCGTCCAGCTGCACCGCCCCCGAGGTCGCGGCGCTGGGGAAGGACTGCATGGAGGGCAGGCTGGGCCCCGAGACGCTCGCGGCAGCCACAGCCGCCGCGGCCGCCGCGACGGCAGCCAGCTGCTGCTGCTGCTGCAGCTGCTGTTGTTGCTGCAGCTGCGCCTGTTGCTGCAGCTGCTGTTGTTGCTGCAGCTGCGCCTGCTGCTGCTGCTGCGCCTGCTGCTGCAGCTGCGCCTGCTGCTGCAGCTGCGCCTGCTGCTGCGCCTGCTGCTGCTGCTGCTGCTGCGCCTGCTGCTGCTGCAGCAAGAGGAGCTGTGAATGTTGCTGCTGCTCCTGCTGCTGCAGCTGCAGCTGCGCAAACTGGTTCTGCTGAGGCAGGCGCAGCTGTGCGAGTTGCTGCTGCTGGAGCTGGGCTTGCTGCTGGGGCTGCAGAACCACGCCATACTGCTGCTGCAGCAACTGCTGCTGCTGATCCAGGATGGGGCCCGCAGCCATGACCGCAGCCGCGGCGGTGACGGCGGCGGCCACCATGTCTACGCTGGCACGAGGGGATCGCCCGGGCGAAGCGTAGGCGGCGGCGGCCGGATCTGCGTGCACCCTCGCGGCCGGGACGCTGGCGGGCGGGTGAGGGGCGGCAGCGGTGGGCCCCCTTGGCGAGTCTTGGAGAGTGGTGCCAGGGTGACGTGGGGAGGTGGAGCTGGCAGGGTTGGCGCGGGGCGAGGCGACCCAGGAGCCCTTGGCTTCGCGCTTGCCGCTCCCTTTCTGCGGCACCTCCCGTGGCTGCGTCGTGATGGCGGGGGGGGGCGCCGCGCTGGGGGTTGACTCGCCGTGCATGCTGGCCTCCCGTGAGGGAGCAGCGTCGCGTGGGAAGGGGGTGTCCTGGCACTGGGCCGGCACGCCTCGTGGACGCGCCTCCGGCACACAGATGGTCTGCGGGGTGGCGGCAGGGGCACGCGGGATCGATGGACGATGAGCAGGTCAGGGGCCTCTGGACAGCTGCACACCGTCACCAGGCTCATGCACCCCCGGGCCTGAGTGAAGCTGGGGACATTGAGTGCGACCAGCAACGCCCTCTCACCTGGGAGGCGTCGGTGCTGGGGCCGCGCCGGGAGGCTTCCTCGGAGGGCAACGACGGGTATTCGGGGGGCTGCACCGACGTGCGGGGGGACAGGGTCTCCTCGCTGGCCTCGCCGAGCGTGTCCAGGGCCTTCCACTCTCCATTGGCAGATCGCACGTAGGAGGCGGGCTGGGACTGCATGAAGGGGCTCAGGATGCTGATGCTGGCAGCACCCCCCAGCTGCAGAGGCATGTGCAGACCCGGGCTTGGGGAGGTCCTGGGGACTGTAGCTGGTCCAACATGCTCGCGAGTGTCCCGAGTGTTGGGGCCATCATCCCCGCGATCAAAGGGGGTCACACCCGGCAGGGTGGCATCCGCAAAGGGGGAGTCGGGGCCGTCCATCTAGGGATGTTCGTCAGAGCACATGCTTTGCAATGGAAAGGTTAAGATGCTGCCTTTCGAACTCGATAAAGAGGTGCAGCAGGGAACTTCTCGCAGTCGTTTTGGGAGAGAGTCATGCAGGTGCAGGATCCTCGGCAGCCGCAGACCCCAGATTCAGAGTAGGGCAAAATCGCTCAACCATGAGCAGACAGGGGCTTTGACTGGTGCTGATATCACACCTGCACTGATTTCAAGGCATGCAATCCTCAAGGAAGGGAAGGGTCCATTCCCACAAATTCTACTACATTGAGAGTGAGTGCACCATGGCTGGACAGCAAACGGCCAGGTCTCCAGGGGTCAGCAATCCTGATGGTCCAGACCATGTCAGCCCTGACCCCTTGACCTTGTGAGCAAATTCATCCCCCCATGAAAATAAACTTGTCGCAAGGAGTCTAGAGAATGCCTACTTCCAAAAGCACTCGTAGAATGACCAAGCAGCAACGCGACCAGCTGGACTCTGGGAGGAGGAAGAAAGTCAGCCGAAATCCGGGATGCCCATGCGGAACGTCATCGCTCCATGCGAAAACAACTGGAATCGATGTAGTCGCACCTTGAATGTATGCAATTTGGTCTCCAAAGTGTGCGTAACGGAGGCTCAGGATGGCGGCTTTATCCGCCCTTCGATGCCCCATCATGACACAGGCCCCATGTCGCAGCTTGCCCATGCGGGCCGCACATAGTCAACACCCCCAACTGTCAAGATGCGGACATGGTCACCAGAAGCCACACCGTATTTCACACCTGAGTTCAACTGCCGAAGGTGCTGTGGTCATGGAACCTGGCACCCGCACCAGACGCCTAGCCTTTCCATTCACAAGGATCGCGGGTCAGGAAGAGCTCAAGCTGGCCCTGCTCCTCAACGTGGTGGATCCCTCCATTGGAGGGGCTCTCATCATGGGCGACAGAGGCACAGGAAAATCTGTTGCGGTGCGTCTGGTGCTCCATGTCGAGCCCTCTCTTGTGGCATGATGATGTGCTGCCATGCCATGGTCGCAGCATCCATGTGGCACAGCCCCAAGACACACTCGGTCATGCAATCACAGGTCAGGGCTTTGGTGGATGTCCTGCCTGAGATCCAGGTGGTCAAGGATGACCCCTTTAACTCTAGCCCCACTGGTGAGTGGCATGGAGAGGGGGATCATAGTTGGAACAATGGGGACCTGGAGCCAGGCGGGCGGGTGCCATGTAGACAACAGGTACTGGAACACGAAAGGAAGTGCAGCCTGCACACCCGAGTCCCCACCCTCCTTGTCTTTGCACCCCCCCTCTAGACCCCGGCCTGATGGGGCCCGAGCCCCTGGCCGCACTCAGGGCGGGCATCCCACTGGAGACCGTGCGCAAGCCTACCCCGCTCGTGGAGCTGCCCCTGGGAGCCACGGAGGACCGCATCTGCGGCACCATCGACGTCGAGAAGGCGCTGTCCGAGGGGATCAAGGTGGGTGTGCTTGTGGTTGACCAGGCCGCGGGGTGGGGCTGAGAGAGGCTGGGCTACCTTGATTGAAACGACCTGGAGCCGCACCCCGTACATCAACTTGCACGCCGGTCTGTGTCCCCCTGAGTCTCAGCTGCCTTGTGCCAAGGAGACCACCACCTCACCCCACCTCTTCAGGCCTACGAGCCTGGGCTGCTGGCGCGTGCCAATAGGGGCATCCTGTATGTCGATGAAGTCAACCTGCTCGACGATGGGCTGGTGGACGTGGTGCTCGATGCTGGTGCGTGGTGCAGCGGAGGGTGCAGATCGTGTACAATGCCTGGCTGTGGGACGGCGAGGCCCCTGGGCCAGGTGTAAGGGAGGGTGCATTACGGGAGCTGGGTGGTGATGTTGAGGGTGGTGTATCAGGACTTCCCTCGAGACAGGGCTTGCCCTGAAGCCAGGCTTTGAAATCACCCTCGGCGGTCCCCTCCTGCCCTTGAGCCGGCTTGTCACAGCACCCTGATTTACCCCCTTGGGCAGCTGCAAGCGGACGCAACACTGTGGAGAGGGAGGGCATCTCCATCGTCCACCCGGCGTCGTTCATCATGATTGGTGGGTGGGGGGGGTGGGTGGGGGTGGGGGGGGGGGTGAATTGGATGTGCGCTCCAGGTCGAGGAAGGCATGCAGTGGCACGACCGCCTGCGCCTGCTCTTCCGGACCCAGCAATGCAGCCGCTCCCCATCCTCTTGCACCCCGCCCAGGCTCCGGGAACCCAGCGGAGGGCGAGCTGCGGCCCCAGCTCCTGGACCGGTTTGGGCTGTCCGTCTCGGTCGGCACCCTGCAGGAGACCTCGCAGCGGACACGCATGGTCCTGGACCGACTCGCCTTTGAGGGGGTGCGCAGTGTCGAGTGGGAGGGGTGTACAGGGAGGTGGCGCGCAAGGGCCCCTGTGCGCTGCAACCCTCGCTGACGCCGGCCTGCGAGGATCCACGTACCCTGCCCGCGCCTGCCCCAGTGTGTTCTGCACGCCGTGCAGACCGTGCGCAGGCTCTGCGAAGAGGAGCGGCCCCCGACCAGCCTCTGCCCAGTCCCAGATACGCAGCCCTTGGCCCGACCACCCCCTTTCTTTTATGCAGAATCCAGCGGCCTTCTTGAAGACGGTGGCGGCGGAGCAGGAGGCCTTGGTGGAGCAGCTCGAGCGCGCCCGGCAGCTGCTGCCCGAGGTGACGGTGTCCAGGGACATCAAGCTCAAGATCAGGTGGGTGTGGTGAGCTGTGGGTGCAAAAGTGAGCGAGCTGGGGTGCGGCAATAGGGGATGGGAGGCCCTGCCCGGGCATTGCTGAGTCCCCACCCTCTCACTCACAAGCATGCACTCTCCTTCCCTGACAAGTACACCCTCCCTCGCCCATGACGCCGCAGTGAGCTGTGCTCGCTGCTGGACACCGATGGCATCCGGGGCGACATCGTGCTCAACCGGGCGGTGAGAGCCGCGGTGGCCCTGCAGGGCCGCAAGGAGGTGGTCCTCGAGGATGTCGTGCCCCTGGCCTCCATGGCCCTGAGCCACCGGTGGGTTTGTTGGGGGACGCGCCTATGGCCAGTATGCTGTCGGCCCAGTTTCAGGGTGTCAGGCGCCAGCAAAGCCGGGCTGGGCCCGTGTTCTTCGGTGCCCTCACACCGCAGCCTCCATCCAATCTGCAACGCCCGTGCAGGCTGCGCAAGGATCCCCTGGACCCCCTGGACAACAACGTCAAGGTCGCCCTGGCCCTGCGCCGCATGCTGAACCCAAAGGCGGTGGAGGTGGGTGCTGGGTATGGCCTATGGAGGGAGGTGGGCTTGTGGGGGCTGCGCAGGGTTCAGGATGAGGACGTGACGGGGATCTTGTCTCAGATTTTTTGCGGATGTTTATGAGGCAGAGGACGCTTTTACTCCCCCACGTCTCTAACTCATGCCTTACTGCCATGGTCATGTGGGTGCAGAAGGAGGAAGAGGCCAAGAAGAAGCAGGCGGCGGAGGCTGCATCCAAGCCCAAGAAAGCCGGCGCATGGGGTGGCCTGCCGCGCTGAGAGCGACAGACTGCCAGACATGCTCACTAGGGGATGCTGGTGGCATCGACGCAATAGTTGCCACCAGGCCTCTGACCAGAGCACCCGGTGCCGCGAGGTGCTTGCTCCGAAGTGCATCGCCAAGCCTGGCGCGCTCTGCAGGTTGCTCAGATCCCCTATCAGTTGCATGCAGGACCCCTCGCATGCTTCCTCGTGTATGAAAGTATAAGAGCACTGGTGTCTTGTTGGGATACCAGGGCAATATTCTCTGCTGAGAATCCAACGGTGGGTCGACTGTCAACTCCCCAATTGCCTCACAACGGAATCAGTCATGCAGACCCAACAAGTTCTGCATGAACCTGTTCTCCGCAGCAAGCTCAGCACTCAAATGCTCAGCCCCGCATTTACGCTGCCCCTCTAGTGCTGCTTCCTGCCTTCACAGAAACGATCTTCTTCATCCTAATATATAGGAAGATTCCATTCGAAGTTTCAGCCGTCGGCAGCCTTTCGTCGGATTCGACCACGATGAGCGGTCCCGACGCCAGCGGCTTCTCGGAGGGCCAGCAGCAGGAGCTGCTGCAGGCGATAGAGACAATGCAGACACGCGACAGGTGCTAATAAAAGTTGTTGTGTCAGTGGTGCGGTGCTCTCGCGGAGCTTCGGTACCAGCCCGGGTCTGACCATGTCCCTGCATGCATTATGAGTTCATATGCGCTCAACATGCCTCTCGCGACCCTTGCAGCATGCGCATGTACAACAATCTGGTAGAAAAGTGCTTCACGGACTGCGTGGACTCTTTCCGGCGCAAGGACCTCGACGCAACAGAGGAGAAGGTGCGGGTCCTTGAGAGTATTGCTGCCACCCCCTGCTTGCCTTACCATCCCGGATCTTTCTGAGCAGCCTCCCGTCCCGATGTCCCTTGCAGTGCGTGCAAAAGTGCTGTGAGAAGTTCATGAAGCACTCTGCCCGCGTGGGCATGCGGTTTGGGGAATTTACTGCCGCCGCAGAAAAGCAGATGGCCGGGCTGCAGGGCAAGTAGGCTCCTCCCTTGCGGTCCAGTGCCGTCTGAGCGCCAACCCTGCCCGAGCAGCGATGCATCGCGCCCATTTTCACCCTGCTGGGCATGGCATGCGCCTCCTGTTACAACGCATTGATGGCGTTGACCCCCACAGTCTGATGTGCTGCCCCATTGGGCACGAGTACCAGTGAGTGTGCAGCAAGCGTTCAGCATAGGTTCAGGAAAGACAGCGTGAGACATAATGCACAGCCGGCGTATCAGTGTACATGACCAGCCCAAGGTCGAATGCCAAAATAAGTGCTGCCCCACGTCACTCGCTGTCGTCGAGCGAGGTCAAGATGACGGCGTGGCGGCCTCGCCTGGCGAGTGCAGCTCCGGGCCTTGCCGCGTCAACAGCTTCGCCGCCGGGTTCGGCGCCGCGGCCGATGGCACCCGAAGATGCTTGGCGCCGGGCTTCAGAGCCGGCGTTCCCGCCAGACGAGGAGGAAGGCGCGCTCATGTCGCCGGCACCCGCCCCGCCAGGCGGCGCTCGCCCTGGTTCGCCGGGGCCATTATCCGGCCGGGCCGCCGCCCTGCTGACGACCTCCCCACTCCCCCCGCTCTCGCCCGACTGGTCGAGGGAGGACCCCACCCAGCGCACGCTGCTCTCCTCCGCCTCGACGTCGTCGTGCAGGGACTCCACGAGCGCATGGATCTCTGCGGTGCGGTATTTGTGGGGAGGACAAGGGGGACGCGGGGTGGATGCCAGGGCGCTGGCAACCGCAAGACATGTGAAGTCCAGGCCGGGCCCAGGGCACCGCGGCATGCAGGACTGGCCCCACCACCACGGCACCCCGCCGACGCACCGGCGGAGGTGTCGGGCGCGCCGAAGCGGCCGCGGTAGCCCCCCTCTCCCCCGCTCAGCAGGTACTGGTCTGGGGGATAAAGAAAGGGGGAAAGGTGTGTGAGTTGCCACATCCTATCCCAGATAGATATGAGAGCACATGGCCCCTATTGGGCAGGTGACATTGGCAACGTCACTTCTGGGCAGATTGAGGAAGCCATGTGTCCATGGCTGCTTCCTGGCCCATCCAACCTGTTGCACATTCTCACCTGCCAGCTGGCAGAGGCGGGAGAAGATATCGTACAGGGTCTCCAGGAGGGAGGACTTTGCCAGCACGCGTGCAGCAACTTCCCCACGGCTGCTCTCGCCCCTGATCTGCGGCAGGTCAAGGGCGTGCACGTTGGTGTGAGGCCTTGTTGTTCAGCAAAGCTCGAGGAATCACGGGCAGGCTTCCCAGCAGATACAAGCCCTCAAAGCCATGCGCAGCAGGCTTGACGCCCAAGCACGACATGCACCTGTGCCCAGGCACTCTTGGTTTCCTGGCGCAGCCGCGCTCGCAGGCGCCGCTCCCAGTGGAATAGGGCGTGGTAGAGGAACAGGCGCGCGCAGCAGAAGCGCCCCACCAGGAACCCTGCGGGGTGAACGCCAGGGGAGGGCGGATCGAGGCACCCCCATGCGCTGAAAGAATTCTCCCGGGCCCATGCTCCGCTCCCCTCCTACTTGCGCGGCGCCTGCCCTCAGCTTCTCGCGTGGTGAGATTGTTGTTGTCCTGGCTGTTGCCTGGGCCCCCAGAGTCGGTCCCTGAGCTCTCGCTCAGGGGTCTGCGCCTGTGGGTCCTCTGGAATGCCGGCGAAACCTCCGCAAACTGATCGCTTGTCCTCCGGGGAGCGCGCCTGCTCGTCCGCAGCTCCACAGGGCGCCCCCGCAGGACAAGTTCCCGAACCGCGTGCGACCTTCAGGCGGGGGGGTGCCGGGGGCGAGTCCTGACGCCACTGACCTGGGATCCTGTCAACCAGGATGGGTCGACCTCCTCCAAACCTGAGTACGCATGTGGTCTGCCACTCCATCCACCTGGAGCGCCGACAGGCTTGGCAGATGGGGCCATCGTCTTGGTCAGCATCCCCCGCACGGGGCTGCAGGGGGTCGATGCTCCAGGAGCACTCGATGCCCGGCAGCGTCTCCAGGGCTTCGACCAGGCCTCTGGCTGAGGATCGCCAAAAGGAGCTGGCCGCCGCATCCCTGCACGGAACGTGTTTCGAGGGCAAGGAGTCAGCGGCGGGCCACAGCGGGGGGTCCTACGCTCAGGTACGCGGGTGAGACGGTCAGATAGGCTGCGCCTGTTCAGGTGGAAGCCTCTGGAAAGCCAAGCAGCTGCCCATTCGCCTGCCCCCTCGGTACCTGGCTCGTCCAAGCTTCCATTCCACCGCCTGCACTGCATTGCGGTAGTACTGCTGGTGCTGAGGGCTGGTGGCGACCCGATCCTCGTACCTGAGGTACAGTGTGAGTGGTGTGCAACCTGTGCTCCTAGAGCCCCAGCGTAGAATCCGTCTCCGCCCCGGAGCAGCGCAGCACCATCCGACACAACACACCCGCCCGCTTCATCACACCCGGGGTCTACGTCCACCAGGAGGCGGTACTCGCAATAAATGTCAAAGAGCTGACGTGGGGTGTAGCTGGAGAGCTGGACGCCCAGCATGGCAGTGGCCCTGGGACAGCATCCCAGGAGTTGGAGGCTTGGGGTGGCAGGGAGAGGTGGGCCATCCCAAAGCACCCGCATGCACAATCCTCTTGCGCAGCCTCCAAAACCCTGCCGACCACCCACTCACCGAAGCACGCCCAGCGCCGGGCTTGGGCGCAGAGGACGGGCTACCGCCTCCACGCCCTCCTCCCGCGCTGACCCGCTAGTGCTGGTGCGCAGCGAAGCGCTGGGATCTCCCTCATCCGTCGGGGGCCCCGCGTCAGCCCCCTCATCCTCGCGTTCGCTGCCTTGCGCATGCACCGCCTCGTACCAGCGCCGGCCCCCCCTCTCCAGGACCTCTGCCACACACAGCCTGGGCACCCGCCTCCTCAGCCGCACCTGTGTGCCAGGCGAAGGCGCGAGTGCCGCGGCGCCTGCCTGGCCACGCCTCCCGGGACGGCCGCCGGATTGCAGGGTCTTGGCCCCTGCAGGCCCTGAGACTGCCCCAGCCCCATCGCCCATGCCGGAGGAGGAGGAGGAGGAGGAGGAGGAGGAGGAGCACAACACGGAGCGCCGAGCCAGGATGCGCTGACGCCGCACAGCAGCACGCACGCCGCTGTCCTCATCCCCAGGACGCTCAGAGTCTGCCGCGATGGATGAGGAGGAGGAAGTCCTCTCAATCTCGTCGTCGACGATGAAGTCACCCAAGTCTGTGGGGCAGATGGCGAGGTGGTCGCGGTGTGGAGGGTTGGAGAGACATCAGATGGCCCGCGAGCCAACCAGCATCGCACCTCCGCTCGCCCCGGAGTCATCGCCGTCCTCGTAGTCTCCGGGGCCCCCAGCGAGGAGGCGGGCCCTCACGACGGGGCGTCCGCCCTCTCTCACACCAGGCGACCCTCCACGCTTCGGCCTAGGCCTCACCCTCCATTCCCTGCAGCCTCTGCTACCTGCTGGACTTGGCAAGCGAGGGGTTTATCAAGGTAGACAGGGGCCTGATGTTGAGAGAATGGATTTGGACCAAAGCTCCCACCTTCGCTGCCTGAGGTGTCCTCTTCAGCGAGGGGAGGCTGGGTGTGTGCAGCCGATCCATGAGGTGTCGCCCCTTGAGGGCTCGGGGGCGATGTCGTTGGGCACTGGGCTGGCGCGGATTGCCTGGGCGGAGATGGAGGGGCTCCAGCTCCGTGACGTTCAGCCTCAGACCCGCTGTCGTCGGGAATTATGAGGGCACGCGACCGTCTCGTCACGACGACCATCGCACCTCCATTGCTAACATGCACAAGGACAACATTGATTATCCGATGAAAGCCCTCCTCCACACTGCACAATGTGATTATGCCACGCTGCCAGTGGTCAGGCTTGCTGTGGGGTTGCTCTCGATATTGACGCCTGCCACAACGGAATTTGAAGCCCTCAGGGCTGGCCTGGGGGATGCATTCGACTCAAACGTGCACAATCCCGTGGCTGTAGCAAGTCTCTCATGCACTCAGTACCCAATGTAACATGAGCTCTTGGCTGGCTGAGCAGTGAGATGATGTTTGCACCACTTTGGGGCCAATCTTCAGCAATGGCACTGATTCCTGTCCAAGGAGAATCCCTGGGAGTTGCATACACCTTCTACTGTGAAGCTTCTGCAAACCCAGTCGGGTTAGACGCTTCAACTTCTCCCCATAGGTTGGGCGTTGGTGTGCAGTTCATCAAATGATCATCCCTATGACGTGTGGTTGCACTCAGTAAACCCCGCCTAGCCAGGGGAGATATGTACTCCAACCATCGACCCACCATGATCCAGTGGAGTAACACAGCTCATGAACCTCACTTTGATGCATGCCTCAAGTAGCTGAATCTCTTTGTCGTCCATATACCAATGCCCGCCTCCGGCTAGCGCTCCCAAGTTCCAGGGTACCCACCCTGTAAGCTCGATACCGCCCTGGTTCCATCGATGTATCTACGAGCTTACGCAATGCGTGCATGCTCCAATCGGTGCTCTTTCCGACGACAACATGCACCTGCCGCCTGTGCACGCTGGGAGGTTGGCATCTCTTTGTTCTCCGAAGGCAGTCCGAATAATACCTTGATGAGCAGTAGGCCCTGCAACTTTCAGGGGATGCTACCAACACTGCTACATGGCCTTCCCTAAAAGCGACAGCAGATCCGACATGTCAGCATTCTGCAAACGAATTCACCACAGCACTTCCCATGCTCATCAGAATTGTGGCCAATTTATGGCAAGGGGGGGCAATCAGCAGTTCATGCACGCAGGGTCTCATCAAAGTCATCCAGGGCAAAAAAACCGCGCAAATCTTATGTGATCCTGCTGAAAGTCTACGTCGGGGTTCATCTGGCGTTTCGGTATCAGTCTCCGGCCTGGACTGAACCCAGAGCAGGACGCACACCAGGTCCTCACACCTTTGCAGGGACAGGCCACCCCCGACACTTTGAGATCCTGCTTTCCCAATTCGTCGAGCACTGGGTACACGGTCCGTTCTGAGCGAGCGTTGCATCGTACAGCACAAATGGTCGATATTGCCATCACCGAGGACATGGCCAAATCCGTGATTACAGGGGGTCCCACATCACCATGCCCTATATTTTAATTCATAACTCAATTGTGAATGTTTGATGCAACATTGGCTCCCACACGCTCGAACTCGACCGCTGTGCGCAGCTATCCCGGCGGCCACGTGCCGCGCGCCCTCCGGACCACGACCCGAGCCGGATTCTGCCAAGTCCACGTTTGGTAGACACGCGGAGTGGCTGAGACCATCAGGCGCTGACGGCTGTGAAGGAGAACAGATACGCTAATCCATCGCATTTCAACATATCCCTGCAACACACGCACCCCTTGGGTCGCAGCATAGAAGCGAGACCCCTTTCACACTCAGCAGCTCCTTGACTGTTCTGCCCACCGGGATGGGGCGATTCTCGAACCTCGCCCTTATGGGCCTCCTGCTCGCGGTGATCACAGCCACACCTACTTCAGCGGTGAGGTCTGGGAGGTGTCTGCATGATGGCCCGAGGTCTTCACTCCGGCTCGCATGCCAATGCAGTTGCCCCACAGGAGCCCCTGACCCTGCGCAGGAAGATATCTCACTCACGGTGAATTATGCTCGGTGCACCTCGCGCGGTGGCAACGGAGCAGAATGTGTCTACAGCGTGACCCTTTCAGACCTGGTTCAGACCGGCGTAACTGTTATGGTGGTCATGGATTCTGGGGGTGAGGTCGGCACGGGCTTCATCCCTCACGAACTGACCCATGTGGGCAGGTTCTCCTTTGGAAGTAAGACTGCGCAAGGATCTGCCTACGCTTTCTACTACGACGCGGCTGGGAAGCAGATCACATCCCCTTCTGTCGCTGTGACACCCCTGCCACCGTCATCCCCGCCCCCGCCGCCGGTCCCTGCCTCCCCACCCACGCCCCTTGCACCACCGCCGCCATACACCACCATCTCCGTGGTGTCTGCCAGTTGTGCCTGGCCTGGTTACATGCAGCCCGTTCGCTTCCAGTATGATGTCCTCCTGAAGCACAAGGTCCCTCAGGTCCACGTGGTCTTCAAGCTGGGCATCTTTGACTTTGGCACAGCATACACCCCCGACTCCCTTGAGCACAGCGGCCACTTCGGTGCTGTGGACGTAGAGACGCTCGAGGGCTACGCATACGCCTACTACTTTGACGAGTACGGCAACAAGATTGACTCTCCCCCCACCCCCGTGGTGCAAGTCACCCTTCCCCGTCCTTCAAAGCGCAACATCGCCAGCCCCTCTGCCTCCCCCACTACCACCACAATCGCTGCAAAGAAGTCTCCCCATGCCACTCGCAAAGCGTTGCCCTCACCCTGAATAGGCTGGCAAGTAGCCGGGGGGTAATCCATGGTCACTCTCATGGGAGTGCTCCTTTGCGGTCTCCAAGGAATTCCACGACCAATTCACAATCATTGCCATACTCCCCCATGCATACTTATCCTATTGTCTTCTCCTCATCGAGCCAATGTCCTTTATGTCTGTGATATATAGCGTTTCATTTGAAGCAGTATACAGCATACTTGCAACACCATGAGATGTCCGGGCTGAAGGAGAGAAGTGGGGTAAGATACGGAAGGATGGATGGGAGGCATGCAATCAACCTGAGGTCCGGCTGCATGCATTCGATGGGGATGCGCCCGGGTGGAGCACTATTGGGCACGGGCTGACACAGGGTTGTCGGAGTTCTCAAATCTCAAACTGGGACCGAGATCCACTCGCGATTCCCGTTATTCACAATTTCAGCCCGAAGTACTCGGTTGACGTCAGATCCCCTTGCCAATGCTCTGTGAGTTTTCAATCCAGTGAACCAATGGGGCCTGGTGTTCCTTGTCACAGCCACCCTTTGCTTGGTCGTCAGGGCTCTATGGTAATGCTCACAGATGCATCAACGCGTCGATTGCTATGTCTATCGCACCCACTCCTCTTGCCAGGAATTGCGGAACACTGCTGACATTGGTGTTTGCAGTTGGGCCAATGTCGCGACACTTCTCTCCAGAAGTGCCCATTGCAAGGCTCGCTCAGTCTTGCACCTGGTCGAGGCAACGCTCTTTCTTAGCGCATGAACGAATCACCTCAAATCTACGCCCTTCTTACTCCTCAACGTTCGCCGTGCTTCACATGATCGAATCGCTTCGATTTGCGGTCGTCGCGGCCACGTGTTAGCGCGCGGCCCCCGGATGCGCTGCCCGAGCCGGAGTCTGCTATGTCCCTTCCTGGCAGACACGCAAGTCGCTGTATTCGCTTGGCGCTGACACCTACAAGTTGGCGGAGAAACCTCAAATAAATTATATTCTGCCACATTCCTGGCACACGCACCCCTTGGGTCGCAGCATAGAAGCGAGACTCCTTTCACACTCAGCAGCTCCTTGACTGTTCTGCCCACCGGGATGGGGCGATTCTCGAACCTCGCCCTTATGGGCCTCCTGCTCGCGGTGATCACAGCCACACCTACTTCAGCGGTGAGGTCTGGGAGGTGTCTGCATGATGGCCCGAGGTCTTCACTCCGGCTCGCATGCCAATGCAGTTGCCCCACAGGAGCCCCTTGCCCACTGCGCAGGACGATATCTCAATCACGGTGGATTTCGCACGGTGCGATATGCATGATCCTCGGGAAACAGTTTGCGTATACAGCGTGACCACTTCGGACCTGGTCCCTAAAAGCGTGGATGTGGTGTTCGACATGGATTCTGGCCAAGTCAGCGAAGGCTTCATTCCCCACGACCTGACCCACGTGGGCAAGATTGTGTTTGGAACTAGGCCTACGAAAGGATCTGCCTACGCCTACTTCTACGATGCGACAGGGAAGCAGATCACATCCCCTTCTATTGCTGTGACACCCCTGCCACCGTCATCCCCACCCCCGCCGCCAGTCCCCAGCCCACCCCCCACGCCCCTTGCACCACCGCCGCCATACACCACCATCTCCGTGGTGTCTGCCAGATGTGCCTGGGCAGGTATCATGCATTCTGTTCAGTTCCAGTATGATGTCCTCCTGAAGCACAAGGTCCCTCAGGTCCACGTGGTCTTCAAGCTGGGCATCTTCGACTTTGGCACAGCATACACCCCCGACTCCCTTGAGCACAGCGGCCACTTCGTTGCCTCCGCCGTGGAGACACTCGAGGGCTACGCCTACGCTTACTACTTTGACGAGTACGGCAACAAGATTGCCTCTCCTCCAACCCCCGTGGTGCAGTTCACCCTCCCCCCTCCTCCAAACCGCAGCACCCAGAGCACCTCTCCCGCCCCCACAACCACCACCACAACCTCTGCAAAGAAGTCTCCCCATGCCACTCGCAAAGCGTTGCCCTCCCCCTGAATGGGCTTACGGGCACAGTTTTAACCCATGGTCGATCTCATGGGCTTGCTCATCCGCTGCCTGCAAGGAGTATCCACGACCAATTCACAATCATTACCATACCCTACCCCCCATGCATACTTACCCTGTTGCTTTCATCACGCCAATTTCCTACTTTGCCTGTGATACGTATCGATTTCAGCCATATAGTCAGCAGCATATCTGCAATACCGCAGCTTCTAATCTTCTGGGAGGAGGAGGTTGTTGAAAGCTGTTTCAAATATTGGCAGGCTGGGCTGAAAGGTGTCGACGGGCCAAATGACTAAGGCGCGGATAACCCGTCACGTGCTGATCCATGCACTTATGCCCTGGAGGCCGCCCAATCCCTCTCAAAACACTTGGTGGCCTCGAGTACTTCGAAATCTAGCCATGTCCACTCCAGCTCTGCGCGTGTGTGGGGTGCCACGGCCACAGGGCCTCTGCGCCGCAAGGGTCACCGGCACCAGCCGCACACAGGTGCCGCTATTCGTCGCGAGGCCTGGCAGGAGTGCGAGGTCTGGATCCTTGCGCAGTGAGAAGCCTGCGGGACACGCTTCCTGTCACATCATGTCTCGGTGGGTGGCGGTGGTGCAGGTCTGCCGAGGAAACCCTGCAGAGCCTCGCTTGGCGCCGGCTCAGACGAGAAGGGACGATACGTCAAAGCGTATGAGAAGCTCGTTACACCTGTATATTCCCATCCAGAACTCTATGCAGAGCGAGCGCTGAAGCCACCGCCGAGCAGGCCAACACCATTGCTCCCCATGGTGGGTCTCTGGTCGACCTCATGCTGCCCAGTTCCCAGAGAGAGGCTGCCATCAGCTCCTGCAACAAGACCGTCGAGCTGTCTGACCGTAATGCATGCGATGTAGAGCTGCTCACCGTAGGGTGAGGCTGGTTGTTCGAAGGGATTCTGGGTGCCAAAATGTGACGAGCAGCTGCTTCGCTTTGTGTGGAAGGAAGTGCGGTTTCGGTGACCTCTATGCGGAATGGTGTGCTCCATCTGGCAAAGCTGGGTTGTCTTGTCTTTATGAGGAGGGCTTTGGGCAACTGGGATCTTCTGTGTTGCGCCAGGGTATGTCCTCAGGTCTAAACCCACCCGCCGTGTCCTGTTTTATGTTTCTCAAAGGCACGTCCCTTCCCTGTCCCACGGGCGGCATGCTGATGCCCCCCGCAAATTCCAGCCATGCATCGTCCTCCCGAGTTTGGTGCATGGCTGCCTGGGCCGGCCTTGGGCGACACGCTCACACCCATCAAGAATCGCACCCAATACCTTATCTCAGGGCCTTCTCCCCGCTGAGGGGCTTCATGACGGAGGAGGAGTACACCTCCGTGGTTGAAAACATGACGCTCCCCGATGGCACCCTGTTTGGGCTGCCGGTGGTCATGGACACCAGCGAAGAGGGCATCATCGTCGGCGACAAGCTGCTCCTGACCTACAAGGGAGAGGTGGGCCCAGGGCGGGGGCATCAGAGTGGAGGAAAAGGACATTTGCCAGGGGACCAGCATGCCTGCACCCCTTGCTCCCACGCGCGCCCCAGGTTGCTTGGCGGGGCGCCAGGGCCTCATGTGGATGTCCTTCTCTGCCTAGTTTCCCTTTCCACACGATCTATGACTTTGCCCCCCCTTCCTCCATCCCCCCCCCTCCCCCCCCCCCGTTTCCATCAACTCCCCCTCCCCCATCATGCAGTCCCTGGCCACCTTCACGGTCAGCTCCAAGTGGCGCCCCAACAAGGCGCTGGAGGCGCGGCAGTGCTATGGCACCACCGCCCTGGACCACCCCGCGGTGTCCATGATCGCGGGGGAGCGCGGGCGCTACTACCTGGGCGGCGGCGTGGAGGGGCTGGGCCTGCCCACCCGCGAGTTCCCCTGCGCGACGCCCGCGGAGGTGCGGAGCACGCTGCCCGGCGGCGTGGACGTGCTGGCCTTCCAGTGTCGCAACCCCATCCACCGCGCGCACTACGAGCTCTTCATCCGTGCGCTGGATGCGGACAACGTCTCCCCCGGCGCGGTGTGCCTGGTGCACCCCACCTGCGGGCCCACCCAGGACGACGACATCCCCGGCATCGTGCGGTACCGCACCTATGAGGTACTGGCCGCGGAGGTGGCCAACCCCGCGCTGCGCTGGGCCTACCTGCCATACTCCATGCACATGGCGGGGCCGCGGGAGGCCATCCAGCACATGATCATCCGCAAGAACTATGGGTGCACCCACTTCATCATCGGCCGCGATATGGCCGGCTGCAAGTCCAGCCTCACGGGGGAGGACTTTTACGGTGCGCTGGGGGACCCGTCGGCGGGGGAGGGGAAGGACTGCCTTCCGCTCTTGCTTGGTGGGAGTGCGTGGGGTGGGGTGAGGGTGCAGCAGACACGAGTCTGGGAGTGTCGAGAGGGCCCAGGGATATCGGGCAGAATACCCAAGGATCAGGAGAGGCCACACTCACACCGTCTCTGCCTGAGTTCTCTGAGTTGAACCTGACTGGGGAGCACCTGGCACCATGTCCCCCCTGGCATGCATGCACCTGGCCCCCAGGCCCTGCAGGGCACTGTGACCCTTGACTACAGTCACGTAGCCCCGCGTGTCACTCACCTGGGCGGCGCACCTCCTCCCCTCCAGGTCCTTACGATGCCCAGGAGTTTGCGACGAAGCATGCGCCCGCCCTGGGCATGCAGACCGTCCCATCCCTGAACATCACGTACACCGAGGTGCGGTGTCGCGGGGCAGGAGTGGTGGGCGGCAGCGTCATGGTTTGCCCTGGCCTGGGGCAGATGGGCGGGGTGCTTGCCTCCCTCCCTCCCTGTCTTCACTGCCCCTGCTTCTTCTCCGACTTCTCATTCCCATTCCACCCGTGCAGGAGGCGGGCTTTGTAACGGCCGATGTTGCAGAGAGCCAGGGGCTGCACAAGCTCAACCTGTCAGGCACCAAGTTCCGCAAGATGCTGCGCAGCGGTGGGTCGTCGGCGTCCGGTGTGGGGAGTGGTTGGGCGGGCTGTGGGCGCAAAGGGAGTTCCTCCTCCCCATCATCTCAATCAAGTCCCATTCCCATTCCTGCGCAGGCGAAGACATCCCCGAGTGGTTCAGCTTTGCGTCTGTCATCCAGGTGCTGAGGGAGGCCCAGCAGCAGCAAAACGGCGCAGCGCAGTGAAGCGGCTTGTAGCGCTGGATTGCAGCGTGGCCTGATTCCGTCCAAGCCAGTCAGCTTGCACTCCCAGGGGCGGTTGCATGGCCAGACCATGGCCCCCCTGCTGAGATTGTGATCTTGTTGCCGACTTGGAAGTCAGTTGTAACCCTCATTAGTGGTCGAGGCCACTGGAAGGACCTCACACCCTTGTCACCTATTGAAGACAGGGCTCCTTTACACACCAGGGCGTGACAGCTAGGACATCCAAACTTCAGGGAGTCTGCAGTGGCAGCCCCAGCCATCGGACGGCCGGCTTCCTCACTGCTAGAGTACGATATGCAGGGGAGCCCCTTGTGAGGGTCCTCCCTCACTTCTTCTTCTTGCCGCCAAGCTCGCTCCTCAGCCCGCCAGAGGGCAGGCCCTTGCGCTTCACGGAAAAGTTGTCACCGTCTGGAAGGGTGAAGGGACAGGTCCTTGGTATCCTCGAAGCCAGCAGGAAGGCTCATACATCACCATCTCACAGAGGCATGCCTCTCAAGACACAGGACTGCCACCCAAGGCCTTGAAACATCAGGGTATCCAAGGGTGGAAAGAGATTCATGAACCATTGCGTCCCAACAACCCCCCGTCGAGAGAAAAAACGCCCGGACTGGCCCAACTCACATCCGATGAAGCGCTTGGGACGGATGTGAGTGCGGGGATTGGGGTCCTCAATCTCATACCCCCACCCATTCTTCTCCGCAAAGGCAATCGCCGCCTCCTTGCTGTCAAAGTACAGCGGGCGGTGCACATTCTCCAAGGGGTCGGCGGTGGAAGTCCAGCCCATGAGGGGGTTCATCCACTTGCCTGCGGGATGTGTGTGAGAGTGTGCGTGTGTTGGCTAGCCAGGTCAGCCGCAGCAGGCCTGCATGAGTGGATGCTTGCTGTACTTCTGAGAGGTGACCGTCCAGCCGTGTGCCCACTGGGAGGGCTACTCACCCTCCGGCGCAAAGAGAACCCTCCAGCTTGGGCCACCTGTGAGTGTAGGTAGGCTCTCGGAGATCCAATCAGATGTATTTCGCTTGGCTTGCGCACTCCCCGGCATCGGCTCCTCCCGTCTCCCAGCATCGGCCTAGGAGTCCCAGCTACCACGACATTCCCCACGCACCCCCATCGATGGTCTGTGCGAGCCCGTGCTGGCCCGCCACCCGAGATGGCGAGAAGATGATGACCTTGCGCTGGGCAGCCATGGGAGGCGCCCCACCCGCGACTTGCAAGTCGGTGCCGTGGGACGGCAGGTCATCCCCAATCTGAGTGGAGAAGCTCCTCCAGCCTGTCGCGCAACGAGCCATGCCCGTGCGTCCTAGCCGTAGGCATTGTGCCAAAGACACGATGACGCTCATGTGCTGCCAGCTGCCGGGGTCAGGGCCCGAGAGGCGGGTTCACAGGCCGGTGGTGCCTTCCGCACTGGCTGGGGGGAGGGCGTGGCACCTCCTTGAGGACCCTCGATGCCAGCTATGTATTGTGAGTGTCTTCGGGTCGCTTGCTTCACGACAGCACTCCTGGGTTTCATCTGACCCTGCTGCGTGCATGCTGGGTCCGGGGGCTGTCAGGCCCCACTAGCATGGTGCGGCGGCCAGCCTTTCTTGCTCCAGCTTACAGAAGATGTCAATATTGAGGTCACAGGTTGCCATACCACCTCCACCAAGGGTGCTGTTCCTCACCGCAACATCCCAACATACTCCTGACACTGCAGCACTGCCTCACGTGGTGACCAGCAGCTTGAGGAGCCCTTTGACATACAGCAAGATCTCGGCGCCTCCCAGTTTGGAGGCGCCGTACACCCTGTCCACGAAGACGATGGGCACTTCGGCGACTGTGTAGCCGAGCGACCGAGCCCTGACCATGATCTCCATCTGGAAGGCGTAGCCCTTGGATGTGGCGAGTCTTATGAGCTTCTCTAAGCATGCTGTCCGATACAGCCTGAATGAACCTGTCAGGTCTGAAACCTGTATGGTGGAAAGGTGGATGGGGAAATCTGAGAGCCGTTGCATAGCAACCCTTCAACAAACTGGAGCGCAGCAGGGAAGCGAGTAAATCTCCAGGGTGTTGGTGCACTATGCTCACTATTGTAGCATGCACGACGCAGAGACCAGTTTGGCAGTCTCAAAGCCCCGCGTTTGGCCCAACAAGCCCAGACCTCGATCCACTCAATATGCAGATGCAGTCTCCTGATGTTCTCTAGGATGCCCCTGCTACGTACCCATCCCGTGCCCCAAGCCATGCTGCACTCACCCCTGGCTGCAGGAGTGTGGCCGCGAGGGTGTTGGCGCCCCGACTGATGAGCTTGCGCTTGAAGTTCCACCCATACACCCCCCCGCCCGGGCCGTACCGGGTCCCCGTCACCACGTCGGCGCCTGTAGCTGCCTGCTTGGCAATGAAGTCCGGCAGGTACTTGGGGTGGTGGCTCAGGTCAGCGTCCATGATGATGACAAAGTCGCCAGAGGCGTACTGCAGACCATGCACATATGCGGTGCCCAGGCCCAGCTTCCCCGCACGTGGCCGCAGCTGTATCCTGCAGGAGTGGCCAGTGCATCGAAAATATTGAAATAGGTGTGGCAGCATCGTGGGGTCAGGTGTGCGGGGCCTTTTCCAGATCGCATGCAGCAAGCATATGAAGGGGCAGCAAAGCACACTTGAGCTCGTGCACGCACCGATCTTCGCCATAGACCCTCTGTAGCTGCTTCACCACGTCCTGAGTTCCATCGGGGCTGTTGTCGTCCACGACGATGATCTCGAAACGGATCTTACTGTGAGCAGTGGGACGTTGGGCTCAGCAGAGACACTAGTAAAAAATGAGAAGGACATGAATAAATGCAATACAATCAACTCGCACAACGTCCTTCGCAATATTATCTCACTGGAGCTCAAAAGTTTCGACCAGGAGGTAGATGATGATGGGGATGTTCTGGCGCTCATTGTAGGTGGGGAGGAGCACGGAGTATTTGGACGTCGTGTGTACTCGCCGGACCACCATGATCTGGATGTCGGGTCACCTGACAGGCGATCCCATGCCCTGGTGAAGGATGAATATCAACAGAATATAGGATTCTACCGCAATCAGCGCCTTTTGTCATGTGCCTGAGTGCAACTTTGCACACCGCGGTGCCGGGCGAGGGGACGGTCAGGTGACAGCTTGGAAAGGACGACCTCGAGAAGAGCAAGGCACTCGCGTTCACCCCACCCGGTCCACGCAGCCACCTCACGTACCTCTGTCTAGGTTCAATCGATGGAAGGTTGACTGCCACATTCGCCGCGAGGCAGTCGCCAGGATGCTACCTGTCAAGAGCGTGGATCGCTCCGCAACGATATGCTTCGATCCGACTGGGTCGTTCCTTGCGGCCGGCAGTGTTGCCGGGGCCATTGATCTCAGCTTCAGCACGAGCTCGACGCTGGAGGTGCGCGGAGGACACCATTGCCGCCGTGCGGTCATCCTGCGTGGTCTGGTGCAGGGGTGATGCAGTCCTGGGCCCAACCGTCGAGCTCTAGTCCCTCCACCCCTTCGAAAACAGATTTTTGATTTGGATCTAGCCAACCCCAGTACGGATCTGAAGCCCGCCGGTGGAGCGGTGCATGCTCCCGAGCGTTTCTCACGCCTCACGTGGGGCAAGGGGCCCGATCCCGACAAGTACCCCGTACGTTTGGGAGCTTAGGAGGGGTGCAGCGCAAGATTTTCACACTCATCGGGGCAGGGTCGGGGAAATTGCAATGAATGGGGCTCTAGCACCCTCCCATGCTGCCTTTCATCCCAGTGCGAATGTCGCCGGCAGCCGGCCTGATCGGGTGAGCTGCGCAGCCCAAAAGGGGCACGTCTACATACACTCCTCTCCTCTCTCCCCAAACCTGCAGAAGGGACTGCTGGCCGGCGGCCTCGCAGATGGCGTCATCTGCCTGTGGAATCCCGCGGGCATCATGTCCCGTGGCGCAGGGTCCAAGGAGGCCCAGCCGCTGGCGCGCCTGCAGAAGCATCGAGGAGCGGTGCGGGGGGCGTGGCTGGTTTTCGTGGGTGGGTTTCTTTCTGGGAAAGGGATCCGTCCCGGGTGGGCGGGGCGGTGGGTGTGCACCCTGCCGCTTCAACCACATCACATCGACCGCCTGCTGATGCCTGGTGCCGTGAGGCGGGGCAAGCGCTCGCTGGGCATCGCCCCTACAATACCCCTCCCACTTCCCACCCACCCATCCACACACACTCACACACATGCTCCGTTACCTCCTCGACCTTCACCCACCGACAACTCCATACGCCGCAGGCTCGGGGCCTGCAGTTCAACTCTCACAGCCCCAACCTGCTGGCCTCCGGTGGTGGTGACGGCGAGCTGTGCATCTGGGACATGGGCAAGCCCTCCGCACCCTCCCTGTACCCCGCAATGAAGAACGGGGTGGAGGAGGTGGCCAGCGAGATCGGGTTCCTGGCCTGGAACCCCAGCATCCACCACGTGCTGGCCACCTGCACCGGCAAGTCTGGCGTGGTGGGGTGGGACCTGAAGAAGCAGCGGCCCATCTTCCAGCTGGCGGAGGGCGGCGCGCGACGGCGCCACGTTTCGGTGGCTGCCTGGAACCCGGCCATTGCCACCCAGGTGCTGGTGGCCTCAGACGACGACGGCCAGCCGGGGCTGCTGCTCTGGGACTTGCGCAGCCCTGCCGCGCCGCTGCGCGAGCTGACGGGCCATTCGCGCGGCGTGCTGGGCCTGTCCTGGAGCACCCAGGATGCGGGCCTGATCCTGTCGTCGGGCAAGGACAACCGCACGCTGGTGTGGGACGTGGCGGGCTGCGGCGCGCCGCACGCGGAGCTGGGCGCTGCTGGCCCCGCCACCAACTGGAACTTCGAGGTGGCGTGGGCGTCGGGGCGCAACGCCGGCCTCTTCGCCGCCGCCACCTTCGAGGGGCGCGTGACTCTGACGGGGCTGGCGCGCTGCGCGGCGCTGCCCGCCCTCGACGAGCGCGGCGAGCCGGCGCCGGGGCCCGCCCCCGCGCACGCGCGCGCGCCCGCCTGGCTGCGCCGCCCCGCCGGCGCCAGGTTCGGATTCGGCGGGCGCCTGGCGCGGTTCGGGCCGCCGCCGCGCACCGAGCCGGAGGCCTTGCCGGCCAAGGGCGCCGCTGCGCCCGCCACCGTCGTGACCGTGGTGCAGGTGCACACGGGTAGCGGCGGGGGCGGCGGCGAGCCTGGCGCCGCGCCCTCGCTGCTGGAGGGCGCGGTGGCCAGCGGGGACAGGGAGGCGCTGCGCACGCTGTGCGCGCGCCGCGCCGCCGAGCTGGCCGGCACGCCCGAGGCGGAGACCTGGGCTTTCCTGGGCACGCACTATGCGCCCGACGCGCGGCGCTACCTGCTGGAGCGCCTCGGTTTTGGGGATGACCTGCCACCGATGGAGGAGGCGGAGCCGGCGGCGGTCCAGGCCGCGGCGGACGACGTCGCGCGGTTGAGCCTGGGCGCCGCGTCCTCGGACGCGGCCCACCCTCCTCCTCCGGAACCCCCAGGAGGTGGACCCCTTTAGCACTGACGGTGAGCGCTTGTTCGAGTCAGGGATGGGGTGAAAGGGCTGAGAGGGGGCAGGAATCTGGGCGGCTGGGGACGGTCGGTCGGAGTACGAGAGAACGGGCAGTCCCTGGGAAGCGTGGGCGCTCCCGTCCGCCACCGTGGCCGACGTTGCAGAGAAGCTGCTGGGGCCCAGCATCGCTTCCCCTCCCTCCAGCCCTCACCCCACCCACACCCACCCACAGGCGCGGACACGTTTTTTGACAACCTGAACAGCCCGGTGACGCAGTCGCCCCATGCGCACCGCCCCGCGTCCTCCAACGGCGGCGCGGCGCACGCCCACGGCCCCTCCGGCCTGGGCCCCGGCGGCGCGGCGGTGCTGGCCGCCACCACCGCGGCGCCGCCGCAGGCCAGCGCGCTGGACCGCGCGCTGGCGGACGCGGCGGGCGGGGAGGGCGAGGACGCCATCCAGCGCGCATTGGTGCTGGGCGACGCGGCGCGCGCGGCGGCGCTGGCCGGCGAGGCCGGGCGCCTGGGCGACGCCGTGCTGCTGGCCTCGCTGGTGGGCGGGGAGGCCTTCCTCTCAGCACGCCTGGCCTACATGGCCGCCCACCCGCGCCCCTTCATGCGCCTGGTGGCCGGCCACCTGCGCGGCGACTGGCGGGCCTCGGTGGCGGCCCGTCCGCCGGCAGCCTGGCGTGAGACCCTGGCCCTGCTCCTCTCCTCCGCGCCGCCGGCGGAGTTCGAGGCCCTGGCAAGCGCGCTGGCGGCGCGCCTGGCTGAGGCGGGCGACGCGCACGCCGCAGGCCTCTGCGTCGTCTGCGCCGGTGACGTGGACGCTGCGGTGGGCGGGTGGAGCGCTGGGCTGGGCCGCATGCCGCCCGCCGCCGCGCTGGAGGGCGTGGTGGAGAAGGCGCTGGTGCTGGGCGTGGGCGCGCGCGGCGTGGGCGCCAACCCCGCGGACGGCGGCGCCGCGCTGGCGGCGCCCGCGCTGGTCGGGCTGCTCACGCGCTACGCTGACGTGCTGGTGGCCGATGGGCGCCTGGCCGACGCAGCGCGGTTCCTGGACCTGGTCCCGCCCGGCGCCGCGGCCGGCGTCTCCGACCTGCGCGACAGAATCGCGCACAGCGCGCCGCGCGGGATGGGCGAGGATGCCGCGGCACGGCTCGGCGGCGACGGCAACATCCACGGCGGCGGCGGGTACGCCCAGGACGGCGCTGCCGCCGACTACATGTATGCCCAGGGCGCCGCCGACGGCGGCTACGCCTACGCCCAGGGCGCGGCCGACGCCTCGTACTCCTACGCCCCCGACCCGAGCACGGCCCAGGCGTACGGAAACTACGGCGCCAACCCCGGCGCGGCGTACGCGCCCCAGCCCCCCCCCCGCACTTCGCCCCCGACCCCGGCGCACAGCACCAGCTCGCGCCAGGGGGCCCGGCCCTGTTCCAGCCCGAGCAGCAGGCCCTCGCGCCGAGCAGCGCCTACGCCGCTCCCCCGCCGGCGTACGGCGCGCCGCCGCCCGCGGTGTTTGCGCCGCCGCCCGCGCAGGCGCCCAGCCCCACGGGGTACGCCTCGCAGCAGAGCCCGGGCGCCTACTTTGCGCCGCAGGGGCCGCCGGCCCTCCCGGCTCCCCAAGCACCCCCCAGCACGTATGCGCCGCGGGGCGTCTATGCGCCCCCCGCGGCACCGCAGACCTTTGCACCCGCCCCGAGCGCGGGGCCTGCCCCCGCCATGTACGCGCCCCCGCCCGGACCCGCGCCCCCTGCTGCCCCGGCCACGTTTGCGCCGCAACCAACGTACACCCCTCAGCCCAGCCAGCAGACGTATGCACCCCCCGCAGGTGATTGGATGGGTTGGTTGGTGCGGTCGTCGGGTGCGGTCCCCAGGCAGCTGTGTGGGACGAGGGGACTGCCTGGCATGGCATGTCCCCTGCATGCTTGACAGGGCCTCCACACTCCAACCCCTCCCCGCCTGAAACGAATACACTCCTCCCACACCCCACCCTTTGATCCCAGCGCCAGCGTCCTCAGCGTCCTCCACGCCTGCCTCCCCCCTGGGCCGAGCAGGGGGCCCGCCGCCCGGCACCACGCTGCTCAGCGCGGACACCAGCGGCATCTCCCCCGCCCTCCGCCCCGTCGTCATGTCCCTGACCAACCTCTTCCGCGCCTGCGAGGCCGCCTTTGCGGCCCAGCCGGGGCGGGCCCGCGAGCTGGACGACGCCGGCCGGCGGCTGGGCCTGCTGGCCTGGCGCCTGGCCCAGGGCGGCGTGTCGGACTCGGTGGCGGGCAAGCTGGGCACGCTGTGCGCGGCGCTGGACGCCGGGGACGTGCAGGGCGCCGCGCGCGCCCAGGCCGCGCTCACGCGCGACGACTGGGATGAGTCGGCGGCCTGGCTCTCGGCCCTCAAGCGGCTCATCAAGCTCCGGCAGATGCTGGGCTGAGGTCCGGGTGTGTCGGCGGTTGAAGGGCGGGTGGCATCAGTCCGCCATCGCCAATGTGACGCGCTGCAGTCGCATCCTTGCGTGTCATGACGTGCGATGTTACACGCACTCCAAGGCAGAGTCCAGGGGATGGTGACGATGTCAAAGCACCCCTGAAGTCGAGGCCTCAGCATAGGCCTGGGAAGGTGGTGGAGCTGGGTCAAGGCAAAGGGCCGGCGAATGGCGCACGGGCAAACAGATGGTATCCTGGGAGTACATGGGGGTACAGCTCAAGAATATGTTGAAATATGGGATGCAGCCAAACAGCGTGATGGTCGCTGGTAAGCCCTGAGGCACTGGGGTGATCACGAATCACGGCGATTCCGGTCCTGGCCGGCTTCCTGGCAGGTGTCTCGCGTCTGGCATCGTCCGGTTGTGCAGGTTGTGTGCGGGGTTAGGGGGCGGGTGCCAGTCGGAGAGGGTGTGCACATCCTCTGGCAGCTCGCCAGCATGAGACCTGGGGTGGTGTGGTTACATGTCAGCTGGGTGGAGGCAGCCACAGGGTCCGGCATGCCACTTCAATTACAATGCCCAGGCACACATAGGAAAGACTTCAGAGTCCCATGCCCCGTTGCCACCTCAGTGCAGCAGGCGGCTGGCACATGCTGTGAGGTGCCTGTCTCCTGGGGCCATCCTCCTTCCCTCCCAACCCCCCCACCTCCTCACCATGCCCCAATGGTGTCGCTGCGCCTGTGCAGCGCCGGCGCCTCCGGCAGGGTCGACTTCTTGCGCACGATGGCCCCCGCCGGCGGCGCGGCAGACGCTGACACCAGCACGCCCCCTACCCCAGCCTCCAGGCCCTGGCTGGCGAGGGGCCGGGCCAGGCGGGCGAGGCAGGCGTTGCTGATGCGCATGCCCCAGCCCTGCTTGGGCACGTCGTCCATGCTGTGTATGCAGGGCAGGCACAGCACGCACAGCGTGATGCCAAACCCTGCGACCAGCAGCAGGGCAAACCACAGGTGCCCAGCTGTGTTGAGGATGCTGCAGCAGGCGTAGCTCTTCAGAGACATGTACTCTGTAGGTGGTTTGAGGTGGTGGCGTGGGGTGGGTCACGGCTTCAGCGCCAAGAGCCGTTCGTCTGTGAGGAGTTGGGTCTAGCATGCGCGCGATTCACGCTCTGCCGCCGTGCGGATGGCGGTGTCGACCAATCCCGCTCCACGCCCGCACGTGCACCAGAATCGGGCGGGCGCCGCCGCTCCCTCGGCTCAGGCACTGCGCCGCTCAGAGTCTTGAACCCCTCCACCCCCCTCCATCACACCCACCTGGGTGCACGTTGGCGTAGTCCAGCCGGTCCTGGAGGAGCAGGATGCCGGAGCTGATGTTTTGCGTCGCGTCCAGCGCGGCGTCCACCAAGCTCTGCAGCGGCGCGCGCAGGGTCAGGTTTTGGATGGCTTCCAGCAGGTCCTCCCGGCTGTTCGAGATCTGGTCCAGCACGCCCTCCACATCCAGGCTGAGCACCTGCTTGGCCACCTGTATGCATGTGGGCGGGTAGTACGGGGGAGATGGGGCTCAGGGCGCCTGCGCGGACATGGTCAGACGATGTCCAGCGCGCCGCTTCACCCTCTGCATGGCTGCATCCTCCATTGGCAGGCCGTGCCGCCATTCGCCCTGCCACCCCGTTCATGCTGCAGCTCCCTAACCATCACCAGCTACGTGCATCACCTCGTCCACGGTGCCCTCGTTCAAGAGCCAGTACTTGGCGAGTGTCAAGGCGGCGCCGGGGCTCTCCAGCCTGCTCAGCCTCAGCAGCACCTGATCCTCCAGGTTGAAGCACCTGCGCGTTGATCATTCGAATGAGGTGTGGGTGGGGCGTTGGTATTGAGACCCTTTGGTCGACATTGCCTGTCAGATACTGATGACGCCTCTTTGCTGCAAGGCGGCACAGAGCTTGGTGCAAGAGGGCGCACGATAGCTCGTCCTACCGGCCGCAGTGAGGGCGGCGGCACAGGCCCACCTGCTCGCAGCATCTGGCCCTCACTTCACTGCGATGCTTGGGCTCCTCGGCGTACCACCAGGACATGCACATGTACCGGCCAGGAGTTCCCACACAAAACACAAAGACAACGCGCGCCGCCTCTCACCCGTCATTCCCAATCTTCAACCCTGCCGTCAGCGCCAGCACAGCCACGCCGGCCAGGAGGAGGAAGATGGCGATCAACGCAGCCCCCAGCTTGACGCCTGCCGGCCACCTCAGCCAGATGGCTGCGGCAGTCTGTACAGCCAGCAGGCCGATCAGGATGAGGATGACATACATGACGACCAGGCGCCTGCAGAGGTAGCGGCGTTGGTGGGGAGGGTGAGCGGGGATTGGGCGCCTCTACTGATTCGACCACAGTGATGCGGCTGCCCTTGCATCCCGCCGGCCGAGCAGGGTGTGCACGGCCCAGAGACAGCACTTCACTCCAGTCCCGTCAGGCCCCCCTCCTGCTCCTGCAAGCAACAGGCCCAAGCCTGGTCCATTCCACTCACACAGTGTCCCAGCGGTCTGCGGTGGGGCGTACGTCGCGCACGGTGGAGTCGATGCGTCCCAGGACCTCCGTGTGCGCCTCCTGGAGAGGTGCCGCCACGTCGCTCAGCGCAGAGGAGATGACGGAGCGAGCCGACGTCAGCGACTGCGGGATTTCAGAAGTGGGTGGGAGGGTGTCGTGTGATGCGTCTGGGGACACAGGGCCGGCTTCCAGCATTCAAAGATGCAGCGGAAAAGCTGCATCCATCCTGGCGCCCAGTCGTTCCACAGTCTTGGAGAGGGTGCCTCGACAAGCTACACAGGGTCTGCTTGGTGGGAGGGACGGCCTGCACCCCACATCCAGCCACCCCAACCCTACAGCTGCGAGAAAAGTAGGCCCCTCCTCACGCCCTTCCTCCCAGCAACCGCCACCTGGTCCACGCCCGAGAGCATGCTGGCGATCTCCGCCTTTGCCTGGTCCACCAGTCCCCCTGGCGGGGACGGCAGCTCCGCGTACCCCTGGGCCAGCTGTGCCGCCTCGTCCGCGTAGCTGGCGGGCTCTGGCACCTCGGCAATGAGGGCGAGCGCGGCGGGGATGGTGCCGTCCGGGCTGGCCAGCACCGAGGTCAGCGGACTCGGGTCGGCGGCCAGCGCCTGGGCCTCGGCACTCGCACTGTCGGCGGCGTCAAACAGGGCACCCACGCCCTCGCCCAGGCTCCCCACATCGCCCGCCAGCTGGTCGGCCAGGGCGCCGCCGGCGGCGCGCGCCAGGTCGTACGAGGTGGCGTCGGGGCTGAGGGCTACCGCCGCGGCGGCCAGCGTGCGCAGCGTGCGCAGCGCGCCCTCCCCCGCCTCCATGGTCGCCGCCGTGTCGCGCAGGGTCTGGGCCGTGGCGGTCAGGTTGCCCAGCCCCGCCAGCCGGCCCTGCATGCTCTGCAGCGGCGACCGCAGCCCGCCCAGCACCGCATCCACGTCCAGGCGGTCGGCCAGGCCGTCCACCTCAGCGCCCCAGTCGGTGGTGACGTTGCTCAGCGTGCGCAGCGCGGAGTGCACCTCGCCCAGCAGCGCCAGTTGGCCGCGCAGCGCGGCTGGCAGCGCCAGCACGCGCGCCTCCACGCGCTCCGCGGCGGCCAGCAGCGCGTTCACGCAGGGCTCCACGCCCCCGTACCCCTCCTGCACGCCCTGGAACGCCGCCACCAGCGCCGGCAGCGTCTCGTTCAGCAGGCGCGTGGCGGCGGGGGCCAGCGCGTCCAGCGCCGCCGCCACGTCTCCCAGCGTCCCAGCCGTGGCCGCCAGCGCCTCCAGGTCGGTGGCTAGCGCCTCCAGCAGCGCAGCCTTGGCGGCCAGGTCGGCCGCGTCGCCCGCCGCGTCGGAGAGCAGGGCCGTCGTCGCATCCCGCAGCGCGCCCATGGCGGCCGCCGCGCCGGCAGCGCCCGCCGCCGCCGGCAGCGCGCCGGCCGCGTCCACCAGCGCCTGGGCCTGGGCCACCAGCGTCACGGCGCCGGCGCGGGAGGTCGCGGCATGTGCCAGCGCGGCCGTGGCCGTGCCCGGGGCGGCGGCGGTGCCCACGTCGGCCGCCAGCTGGCCGACGCCGGACTGGAGCCGGAGCAGGGACGGAAGCACGGTGCCGCGCAGGAGGGTCTGCGCGCCGTCCAGCGTGCCCAGCAGGGTGGGAACGTCGGGCAGCGCGTCCAGCCAGGGGCGCAGGCACTCCAGCGAGGCGTCCAGCCCCGGCGCGTCTACGTTGGAGCCCAGGAAGGACTGTATGTCGGCCAGTGTGCCGTTCAGGGCCTCTGCGTCCGCCACCGCGGCGTCGGCCGTGCCCAGCACGCCTGCCACGTAGCCCTAAGGAGAGTGATCATTGATGGGGAGTGAAGGGCGGGTTTGAAAACATCCGGACAGGCACACACAAACTATGAGTGCATGACACCCAGGACACTGAGTCCGTGGACAATGAAATCCACTGCCCTAGCTCTGGCTCAACCACGAGAGTACCAGGCACAGGGTACCGCCCTTCCCCCATCCCACCCCACCCAAGCGCGCACCCCCACCAACACATCCGCCTCACCCGGGCACCGTCCACCACCTCAAAGGTCCTGGGCACGATGTGGGGTCCGCCCCAGGGCCCCGCCAGCACCACGCCGACAAGCACCCCGGCAGCGCACAGGGCGCCGGCAGCGCCCCAGACCCGGACGCGATGCAGGGCGCGGACCTTCCGCAGGCGCGCCACGTGGGTGAGCTGGCGCGGGCGGGCGAGGAGCACGCAGCGTCGGACCGCGCGCCAGAGGATGAGGGTCAGCAGGAAGGCGGCGGCCAGGCCGGTCACGAGGAAGGCGGGCCAGATGGCTGGCAGCACGATGGACGTGTAGTATGGCAGAGATTCGGGTACGAACTCAGTGTTGGATGCGGGATCAGCCAGGGGAAGGGCCTGGCGGTGGGGGGAAGGCGGTTTGATGGTGATTGGCCGGGGGTGCTGCTACTCGGGCAGCTTCGGTTGTTTGATGGTTCCGAGAACTGCCACACCCGCCCAGGCCGGCCCCATCCACGCACCGTCCAGATCGCGTCCTGACATTCGTCCACATTATTCATAATGAATGTGTTGGTGCTCGTACCGATCAGAGCGTGGGCAAGCAGAGCCTCGGTGTTGCCATGTCGATCCCGCTCCGCAGGTCAATTAGTTGGAGACAGCGGTTTGATTTACTGTCGAAAGCAGCTTATGCAACACGAGCAATCTATGAGCATGACATTACCAGATTAAATCACGCTTATTAAACGAGCGGCATGCCGCATTCGTCCTTGTGTGGTGCGCGTTAGGTATTCAGCTGCAGCAGGAACCCTCGACATCCCGTCAAATGGTACCCCCGGGCGCGCGCCGTACCTCCCCTCGGCAGAAAGCGATCTCGCACCTACCGGGTCCCGCAGGGCAAAGCCTTGCGATGCAAAATCACCCTTCGAAGGTCGTGTTCACCACTACAAAGAGGCATATCTGCCTAATTGTATCGTAGAAGACTGAGCCAGTGCGCTGCTGGAGGAAGACTGGGCTCGCCATGATCAAGCTCTTCTCCCTCAAGGTAGGCAAGGTTTCGAGCGGGAGGTTTGCTCTCGGAAACTGCTGCTCAGACCTTGAAAATAAGTCATTCACAGGAGAAGCAAAAGCAGACGGCCGCTACCGGGACAAGAACCCTCAAGCAGTCCCCAGGCGAGCTCAGGCTACAGAAAGGTCCGTGGGCTCTGGACAACATTCGTGGCCGGAGTAGGAATCAGCCCTTCGCTGTCGCTGATACATTACCTTGTTCACGTTTCAGACTTATCGGAGCTGGACCTACCCAGCTCCGTGAAAATCTCCTTCCCCAATGGCAAGGAGAAGATCATGAGCTTTGATGTGGTGCTGACGCCTGACGAGGGCATGTACCGGTGAGCTGGTGGCTACATGGAAAATCACTCCTGAGCGGATGGCTATTGCTGAGCGCGATGTGTTCCGGTATCCTCTCCAATCCAACCCAGGGGAGGGGCATTTCTTTTTACCTTCACCGTGCCACCAACGTATCCACACGATCCACCAAAGGTTAAGTGCCTAACAAAGGTGAGTGGCTCGACCTTCCAGCAATTATCCCACTATAGAAGAGTTGATGCTTGGCATGCAAGCCTGAAAATAGATGTCCAGAAGGAATCCCTTCTTCCCGTCCGCCCCTGCAGGTGTACCATCCCAACATTGACCTGGAGGGCAACGTCTGCCTCAACATCCTTAGAGAGGACTGGAAGCCAGTGCTCACCATCTCTTCCCTCATATACGGCCTCAACTTCCTCTTCCTAGTGCGTTGAGTTGGATTGCGCTTGGGGCAGGGTGTGGAGATTGCGCTCCTCTTTGCCTGGTCAAGAGGCATCCATGGTGCACAGAGGCTGGCGAGCATCAAGCCGAGTGCCCTCTCCCATGCAGGCACCAAATCCGGACGATCCACTGAACAAGGAGGCGGCAGAGGCCATGCAGAATGCGCCGTCTACATTTGCACGGCACGTTTCTGTGACCATCACGCGGGGAGGCACCATCGGAGGGGAGTACTTCCCTCCGGCCAGGGGAACAGCATCAGGACATCACCTGTAGTGGGGGCTCGGGGAGACGCTGCAGAGCCTTGCCGCACACTTGCTGGCCCTGTGTCTGGCAGTGAGGTGCAAGGCTGGGTCTGAGCTCAAGTGCCCTGACCCATATGCTGGAGCATTTGACCATGGGCCTACGAGCATGGGCCGGTGCTTGAATGCCCCACTCCCATGGCAGGAAAGGAAGCTAGGTGTACTAAAAGCTTGTACAGAACATTCAAAGCAGACTCCTTTCAGAGAATCCCAATCCGGTGCAAGTAGGAGCTCGGAACGCCCTGGCACAGTGTCCAGGGTATGTGGCCAACACTGTGCACCCTCGAATACAGCACAATGTGGGCTAGTATATCCCAGGATACCAAGCTGATCAGCAACACAGTCTTCCAGGGGGCTGATTTGACTGCAGCAAGAATCTCGTGCATAAGGCCCGGCAGAACTAAGCTCATAAAAAGAAGTGCTCAAGGATTCGACCCCGGAAAAAACGCTTGCCGGCCGAGAGGCCTAGTCCGCCCAGGCCGACGGAACCTGTCTCTTTCACATCGCTGGTAACTCGGGCGGCAGTTGTCAGCAACCATGGCGGACGAGACTCACACCAGGAAGCGTACCTTCAGGAAGTACTCCTACAGGGGAGTCGACCTGGAGCAGCTCATGGACATGTCCACGGATGAGCTGGTGGAGCTTTTCGCCGCTCGCCAGCGCCGCAGGTACGCATTGTCACACTTGGGTGTTGGGAGGAAGGTGGGGATGGGATTCAGGAGCGGCTCACACAGCCGTGCACGTCTGGCGACTGCATCGCCGAGTCGAGCTCCATGCGGGGAGCTGTGTGGGTGCTCGGAGATGCAGCTCGTAACTTCGCGACTGCGTCATAAGCGATTGGAGTCCTCGGCGGCCTGCCCTTCCCTGGCAATGACCTTGGCGCAGCTCTGGACCTGCGACACTTTGAGGGCGCTGGCAGCCAGTACAGGCTGCCCTGCCCTCCCACATCGCAACTCGCCCGGGCCCAAGATGAGCATCCGCCCAGCACGTCTGACAGATATTCGCGCCCTTTCCACCCCCCCAGGTTCCAGCGCGGCCTCAAGCGCAACGCTCTTGCTCTGATCAAGAAGCTGCGCGCCGTGAAGAAGGACACCCCTGCCGGCGAGAAGCCCGAGGCGGTGCGCACCCACCTGCGCAACATGATCATCCTCCCCGAGATGATCGGCTCCATCGTTGGTGTGTACAACGGCAAGACCTTCAACCAGGTGCGGGCCGGGGTGCTGCAGTTATCGTGCACTGCCGGAGGAAAGGGATCAAGTCCCTGGTGACCAGGGACCAGGGCTCCCCCTGGCGCATTCTCTTGGGCAGGCTTGCATTCTTCAACAAATATGAAAAGCCGCCGCAACTATGGATTCCGTGACTGATTGTTGACATGCAGCCTCCAACTGTCCCTCGGCTCCATCTCCCAGGTCGAGATCAAGCCCGACATGATCGGCCACTACCTTGCGGAGTTCTCCATCTCCTACAAGCCCGTCAAGCACGGCAAGCCCGGGATTGGTGCCACCCACTCGTCCCGCTTCATTCCCCTCAAGTAGATTTGCTGCGTGCTGCGCACCTGTAAATCCTCTCGCTGCCAAGTTTATCGCGGTCTGTGTGGCGGAAGCTGGGAGTTACAGTGAAGGGCACCAGGGTAGAGGGATTGGCTGCCCAAGGGCAGAGCGTCCCAGCACACCGCCCCTGGGCTCGGGGATAATAGGTGCCTGGCCGCATTCGAGCCTTCAGCTTGAATCGAGCGGGCCCTCCAATCCACGTGGTGCCATGGTCTACTTGCTCTTGTCGGCCTCCAGCTTGTTGTAGAAGTCCTGGCCCATGCGCCACAGGACGGAAAAGAGCAGGCCCTGCGTGGGGTCGTGTTGCGATGGAGGTTGGGCGGTCTGCAGGGCTATGTGCAACACCAGCGGCCCACGGATCATGGAGACGGCGCAGCGTCAGATGCTGACCCACCTGGAGGCCATTGGCCAGGATTTTGGTCTTCAGGCCCCGGCCCATCAAGCCCAGGATGCCATCCTCCTTGATGACCATCTGTCGCGAGCGTGCAAGGCCGGCAGTGTGAGCGGAAGCACCTGCCAGGAGCAGCAGGCATCAGAACTCCATGCAGCGACTCTGTGCAAGGCGATCCCGCACAATTGGCTGCCCTTGCCTTGAGCACTTCGGGGTACGTCATGGGCACGGCAGAAGTCTGCTTGGTCGTCTTCACCACACGGATGGAGTTGGACACGGTGTCTGTGGGAAGGGAGGGAGGCCAAAGGCCGGGCGACTCAGGGTGCCTTTACCGTGTGCTGCAGGGTCGGCCACCGCAGGGACCGGTGCAAGGTCCTGCAGCAAGCAGCACTTACCAGAGATGGCACTGGCACAGAAGCCGATGACGGCAGAGCGACCCAGCTTCCTTGGGAGATCGGTGTACTGCAGAAAGGGTGATTGTGTGCGTGGATCATGAGGGTGGGGAGGATGAGGTGCGTATCAGGGTTTCATTGCAGGACAGCAGCCGCCGCTCTTCACGTGTAGTACAGTCACAAACCCAGAATGCAGGGTGCAGCAGCAAGACATACCTGGGGCAGGACCTCGTTCAGGTAGTTGTAGGTCGCAAACCTGCAATCAGCCAGAGGAGCACATATCGCAGGAGAGACGTTCTGAACAAATACTAGTTTGAGCAAGGTGCTGTCTATCCCAGGGCAGCATGATCATCATGCTGGTTGGGTGCGGTGGTCCCATTGCACACATCAACATCTCCAATGCAGCTCCCAGCAACGCTGAAGAGCTTGAACCCAGAGTATAGATGCCCTCATCTAAGAGTTCCAAGATGTACTGTTCAACCTCAAGCCACCCCCCGGCAACCCATGCAGTGGAGCCCACCGCTGCCAACCCACCAGGGGAAGTGTCCGGCCCAGGTGGCGGCCGCGGCTGCCAGAGCTCCGTGGTACAGGACGCTGACGCCGCCGGTCCTGATCTTGGACATGAGGATGGGGATGCCGTTCTTGCCCTCCACCTGCATGGTGGTCTTCAGCGCGTCCACGGGCATGAGGAAGATGCGGAAGCCGCCCGCCGCCGCCGACGCCGCTGCAGTCTTGATGGGGATGGGCAGGTCCTTGGTGGATGCCGACTCGTTGAGCAGCGTGAGCACGCCGGCGTTGGCGGCGGTGTCCCCGAAGCGGCTCATGGGGCCCTGAATGAGGGCGGGGCCGACGCCGCGGTAGAAGCGGAGCACGCCCCCCTCCTTGTACAGCGTCTTCATGGCGGCCGTGGTGGTCATGCCATCTGCGGGGAGGGGCGGGGGGTGGCACAGGGTGGCGTGCAGGATCATGTCCGTCAAGACGATGCGCTGGCCGTGCATTCAGGGTATCATTCCCCTGGACCAGGCCAGCTATGGCTGGAGACTGGGCGTCTTGGCACTGGCCGCCGCCACCCATCTCCAAAGCTCACCCCATGGCAGTCTAGACCTTGGAACCAAACGGCGATGCCAGACCACTGACCCCACCCATTCTCCCATCTGCCCCATCCCTCAGTCCTCACATCGGTACTGGTAGTTGACCGTGGTGCGCAGCCACATGAGAGACACCACCTGGATGCCCATGGCAGCGGCTCCGGGAATGCCACCGCCCAGCGCCTTCTTTCCGGCGTTGCGCAGAACTTGTGACAGGGGAGTGGCCTCACTGGGCTGGTATGCCACCGCGGGAACCAGATCACGCAGGCCGGGGCGCGATCGGGTGCCAAATGCCTCGCAGTACCCAGGCTGACTCGCGAGGGCAGGGACGATAGGGGTGCTGAAGGCCTGTGTGCTTGCAGGCCAAGCCATGCTGGGCATGGATCCCATGCCCCTGGCAGACTCAGAGGTCCTGTAAAGCGATCCTGGGTGCAGGCTAGGCAGGTACATGGCGACCAGCCCTGGGACCGAGGACGCCGGAGCAGAGGCCAGACGGTGGTATACAATACCCGATCGCTTGTCCAAGTGGTGCAAAGGCTTACAGCTGGCATCAGAAGGCGAGCCGGCTGGAGCGGGGGCAGGCGTGTGCGGATGTCGCTGGGACGTCAGCATGCTTACTCATGTTCAAACATTTTCCACGCCAGCACTCGGTCCCCCCGCCCATGCTCTTGACCATCGAGACCGACCATCTTACAGGTGACGAGCAAATGTTGGGCTAGTGAGACAAAGTCAGCGCATCAGATCAAACTCTATACACGTATGGGAAGAAGGTTGTCCGCATGTCAGCACCCCCAAAGCTGCGCGGGGGGGCATCCCCATGCACAACAGGTGCAGCGAGAAGCTCATGCAGGGTTCATTGCTCGAGAGGGAGGGGTTGTGGCAAGGTACACGAGGGAGCACTAGTGGTACAGGGTCATACATGGGGCCCTCCTTGAGGAGGCAACGGGGTGGAATCAAATGGTCTGGTATGGCACAGTCGTCAGGAGGCCGGGGATACAATCGGCGTCGCTCCTTCTCATCACGCCGCGGCCACTGCCGTGGACGGGGTGGTCGCCACACGCGGCAGCGTGGTGGGAAAGGGGAAGGGCACCACGGTGTTGCTGCTGCGCGGGGGGGCGGCCAGGGGCTCCGGCTGGGGCAGGGTTGGGTTGGAGACCACCGGGGCGGGGGCTGTTGTCTGCACGAGCCTCACCATGTCCCCCATGCAGAGCCGGAGGCCGGCTGCACTGTTCAGCGCCAGGCCGCCGCGCGTGACCGTGACGCGGCCGCCCAGGCTCTTGGCCAGCCGCGCCAGGGTGGTGCCGGCCTCCACCTCCAGCACGGAGGCCGGGAGCGGGGCGGCGGGGGCGGCGCCGGCCGCGGCCGGCGCCGGCCGAACCACGCACACCAGTACGCGCTCCGGGGCGGGGGGCACCGGCTTCTGGCCCGAGGCCAGGAGGTAGGCTTCGAAACGCGCGTCCAGGGGAGGGCTGGGCGGCGACCCCTGGGGCCTGGCCGAGGGCAAGGGCGGGCAGCTGTTGCTGGCCACCGCACCATCCAGGCCCCAGAAGGACCGGGGGCTGGCGACGTGAGGCGTGGGCGAGCTCGCCAACTGCACGAATGAAGGGGTGTTTTCAGGGAGGTCAGACAGGAGCATGGGCGGTGGAGGCAGGATTGGGTATTCATGCGAGAACAGGGTGGGACTTCCCCATGCGACAACATTGAATGTATCGACTCCATGGAGAACGAAGCAACTACACCGGGCCCCTTGACATGGTCCCCTGGCAGGCACACGCTCTCGAACCGGCCACCCCGCCACCCCTCCCCCCCCACAAGCTACCAGCCACGTACCTGCTGCGCCAGGCGGTACTTGGCCCAGGAGGCCTCTGATACAGGCGCGTCGGGGCGGGCGTGCCTCCTGGCGCCGCCTGCTCAGCCCCTTGCCGCCCTCCTTATACTGCCAGTGCGCAGTCCCCGTCCCGTACTCGGCCAGGAAGTGCATCTTGGCGGAGCGGACCTGGACCTCCACCAACCCTCCCCCCGGCGCGTGCAGGATGGCGTGCAGGGAGCGGTATCCGTTGGGCTTGGGCGAGCGCACGTAGTCCTTGTGCGGCGCGGCCTCGCCCCAAGCGCGCTGGACCGCGGCCAGCGCGCGGTAGCACGCGTCCTTGCCGCCGTCGACGACGACGCGCAGGCCGCGCGCGTCGGCGACGAGCCGCGCGTCGGCCAGCCCACGCGCGGCCATCTTCCCCGCCACGCCGGCAAGGTGCTTGGGCCGCGCCGCGATCTCCAGCGTGCGGACGTCCGCGCGGGCGAGCAGGGCCGCGAGCTCGGCGCGCAGCGCGCACAGCGCGGCCGGCGCCTGCGCAGCGGCCAGCGTCGACGCCAGCGCGCCCGCGGCGCGTGGGGCCAGCGCCCCGAAGGCCGCGTCCTCCAGCCCGGCCTTGAGCGACCAGACGCCCAGGCGGTTGGCCACGGGCGCCCAGACCGCCTGCGCCTCGCGCGCCAGCGCCAGCGTCGGCGCGGCCCCGGCGCGGGGCGGGGTGCCTGCCCAGGCGGATGCGGCCGCCGCCGCACCGCCCTGGGGGCCTGGGGTCCCACCCGCCGCGCAGGAGGAGGCCTCGCTGAGCGCCGCAAGCTTGGAGGCCAGCGTGACCAGCAGCGCGCCCTGCGCGCCGTCCATGGCGACGAGCATGGTCACCAGGGCGCCGTTGGCCTCGCAGGGCGCGGCGCCCAGGGTGGCGGCCAGCCGGGCGGGGTCGCCCAGCACGCAGTCGTCCGGCCCCCGCTCGCCCGGGCCCTCCGGGCCCGCGTCGGGGCTGCCAGCGCGGTAGGCGGCCGCCACCAGGGATTCCAGGTGCGCCGCGGAGCGCACCGTCTCCGCCACCTCCGCGCCGGCGGCGTCGACCACGCCCCGGGGCGCGGCGTGCAGCAGCGCGGCGGCCACGATTGCGGGCGCGGCGCCCAGCGCGGCCAGGCACGCGGCGGCATCCGCAGCCAGCAGCAGGGCCTCCACCTCCAGCGCGGCGGCCGCAGCCGTCCAGGCCCTCTGCACGACGGGCGCCGCGAAGGCCGGCCAGCGCGCGGCGTGGCGCGCCAGCAGGTCTCGGGGCGGGGGCGCCGAGGGGCGAGCGGGGGCGGGGCGCGGGGCCGCGGCGCTCTCGCTGCCGCCCGGCGTGCCGGCGGGCGCTGCCGCCGGCCCGCCGCGCGTGGCGAGCTGGGGGAAGAGGAGGGAGTCGGGGCTGCGGCCCGCGCTGAGAGACAGCTGGCGCGTCAGCAGGCTCGCCAGTACATGGGGCGGGGAGGGGCTCGAGGCGGCGGCGCCGCCGCCGCGGGGGCTGATGGGCAGAGGCGTGGACGGGGCGGCCGCCCAAGCACCGCCTTCACCTTGAGAAGCGACGCCCGCGGTGAAGCCCTCCACCTTGACGAAGGAGGCCGCGCGCGGGATGGAGGAGGGCAGCGGGGCCCGGGGCAGCACACTGCGCACCGTCCCGCTGCTGGTGCTTGGCGGTGCCTGGGACTCCAGGGATGGGCGCCGGTAGGAGCCGGAGCGCGCGTCGCAGCTGCCGCGGCAGTAGCTGCTGCCGCCTTTCAGGCCCTCCTCCATTGGGCTGATTTTCCAGCTGCCCGAGTGCAGGGGACGAGACTTGACCTGGCCACCCGCGGAGGGGGGGCGAGGCTGCTGCTGCGCCATGCTGCTGCCCGATGGAGGGGGCGCGGCCGAGAGGAGAGGGGGGGTCATCCCGCCGGGCCACCCGTGCTGACCTGAGGAGAGGGTCGGGCGAGGGATTGGAGCGGGATACGGTGACATGCAAACAAAACAGGTCGAGCACGTGTGGCGATCGACGCAAGCAGCTCAACAAGGACCAGTCGCAAGACCCTCGCGCGCGGGGCTGGGGTAAGGGAACTCAAAACGCGGACCGCAAGGGCTCCCTGTTCCGTCAAAACTCAAGGCACCACAGTTGCGCGTACACGTGTCTGACCTCTTCGAGTGGTGGAATCTGGGCTTCCGGGAGGGGCAAGGATGTCGGAGAATACCCTCCGCGCGAGCGTCAGGTGATTCTCCGAGAGGTGCCCACAGAGCGTCGAAGGCAGCCGATAGCGTGGCCTTTGCTCACGGATCGAGTAGGAGTATCCTACAGACTGAAGCAGCGGAGCTCCTGTCTACTTGGAAGGTCACGTTGCAAGGATGGAGCTCCACAAGTGCGCCTTCCCCGTGGAAGTATGACCGGGGACAATCAGGGGCCAGAAAGATTTCGGGAGATTCGGAGAACGGCAGACCTGTTCAAGTAGAAGCTGACGTAGAATGGAATTTCCAAGGACGATGATAGCCGTCTCCTCTTCAGGATCGAGAATTTCATGTCTTTGACGACAGCACTCAACGTTGCTGATCCTGACAGCGCACGGGATCGGCCTATCACCCTGCTTTTCTGTACGGTGCATGTATTGACATGCAGAGGCTGCGACTCAACACAAGCGCATACTCCTATATCCAGTGTCGTAAGAATCCATCGACCATTCAGAATGTGCGGTGTCACTGCAGCTTGCTCTGGCTAGCTGCTGCACAGGCTGGAGGTCTGGGACAAGGCTGAATGATAGTCTGATGGGCAGAAGCTTTCAGGTGGGCGCACGTCAGGGACCGTTCACACTCCATGCAGGAGCGTTACGCACCCAGCAGGTTGGGGGCTTAGAAGGTGGTGCTTAGGCAGCTCCTTCAATATCGAGTCAGTCGAGTCACACGATGCCAGGCGGGGGACCAAATTACCTACAGCATGTTGCAAACTGTATCTCGAAGGACACGGCGGGGGGAGTGCATTTGAGCAATCAGCCGGATGTGGAACTCCCCTGGTCTTGATAGAGAAGCTCAAGCCTGCACCCACCTCCACTGTAGCAAATTCCTATAGGATGTCTTGCACAAGGGTCGCTCAGCATGTATCCCAGACTCCCCAGCCTGTTGCGGATGCAGCTGTGTACTTTCACAATCCCGCTCTCAAGATGGTAGAACATGTCATTACTGCATGTCTTGGTTGCTTCATGCGTGATACACCACGAAACCTAACAATTCCTGTAGGGCCCACAGCTGCCAGGGACCTTCCCTCAAGAAAGGGACCGGGCGCAAACATGGGACATGTCGTGCAAGCGCATCTACAGGGGCCAATTATGGACATTGAAGGAGTAATTGCCCCGCAGTTCTGAAGAATAGCGTCGCCATGCTGAGTGGCACGATGAACACCGCGGCCGCGGTGCATTCACGATGTGGAGCCTGCGGGGGGTCGCAGGCCCTGGCGCTCGTCAGGTGGGTTGGGACACTGATTACGTCTGCATAACATGCCTCACCCCCAACGAGGAGCTCATGGATAACCTCGGCCTCCACCTCGCAGAGGCGACAGCCGAAGGAGTCGTGCATTCTCATGTCAAGGGACCCCACCCAACCTGACACACCAAACCATGTGTGGCGGTGGTCTTACGAGCGCCAGCACCACCGCCCATGGCCGAGTCTCATGGGTGAGTGGAGCTGCAAGCCCCCAGCAGACAACCCTGTACACTGCCGGGAGCTCGACATCGTCGACGAGCAGCACAAGCAGCAGCGGCTCCAGCTCTGACAGCGAGGAGCCCACGACATCGCGAGCCGCTCGGCGGACTGCAGTCAAGGCCATGCAGCCTACGGTGTCCGTGTGCCAGGACAAGTCGTGCGGTCGCAAGGGCTCTGCCGCGCTGCTGGCTGCGTTTGAGGAGGCAGCCCAGGGCGCCTGCGTCCAGGCGTCCAAATGCCAGGGCTACTGCAAGGTCGGCCCGTCTGTCCGGCTCCACAACCGACAAGGCGGATACGTGCAGTACGCCGCTGTGAATACAGAGGATGTGGAGGAGCTGCTGGACGAACTCAAGCAATGAGGATGAGCTGGCCCAAAGACCATTTCATACGTATCCTCTTTCTCCCATTGGGGGCCCATTGTTTAGTTTTGAGAACACGAGTTTTCAGGCCTGGCTTCTCCATACCGTAGTGAAATCATGGGGGTGGGAGCGGATTGGATGTTGAGATTTCGTGATGACTGGGCCTGACGCCTTACATGTACAAACTAGTCTAAACCGAAGGAGCACGCGAATGCAGCAGGGTGGAAGGAAGAGGACAGCAGGTCACTTCAGTGCTTCTTGTTCTGTGCGGGGTGCGGATAGGATATTGTCGGCCCCCATTCTTGAGAAGCAGGGTGTCGCCTGCAGCACATCGCCCTCCCCATCTGCCTCCCTCTCATCCTGCGTCGTCCAGAGCTAGGCACGCGTCCCCCGCTTCCCTTCTCTCGCGCTCAATCCTTGGGCTCACCCACCTTGTTCTTCTTCGCCGAACGAGGAGTTCCATTCTGGGCCTTCCTGCCCGAGCGCTTGCCCTTGCCGGCCCCAAGCAGGGACAGGACCAGCGCCACCTGCGAGGGATGGCGGGTTGATCAAGCAAGGCAGGGAAGATGCCAGGGCCCATGCCCCCCTCGGGCCCCCCCGGCCCCACCCTGCCACACCAGAGGGAGCCAGAGCAGACCCTTGACGATGACGGCGGGGTATGGCTTCACCGCTAGGGGGGCCGTGCTGGGGTAACGCCGCAGCTGGGCGGCGAGCAGTGTCTCCAGCTCCGTCGCTGCTCGCGCTGCGTGCGCCGCCGCCTGGGCGTATAGCTCCTGGGCCTTGGCCCCGGCGATGCTGACGTGGCGGTGCAGGGTGCCGTAGTGCGCGCCCAGGGTCTCGTGGGAGGCCAGGCGGGTGTGCAGGTCTGACGCCAGGGCGCGTCCCCTGTGCAGCGCCTCGTTCCAGGCTGGGAAGGCCCGGGTCGCCGCCCAGGTGCGGGCCTGGGCGGTGTACAGCCTGGCCCTGTCGACGGCCAGCGAGGCATGCGGCTGGACCCTGTCGGCCCAGACCGCCTGGGCCTGCTGCTGGAGGGGGCGCAGCTTGGCGAAGAAGAGCACGACGGAGGCGGGGACGGGGGAGGACTCCTGCTCCAGGCGCAGCGCAGCCAGCACGTTGTTGGTCTGTGGGGAACAGCGTGGGGCAACATCGCTCGGGATCTTGCGCCAAGGCAGAAGGGGAGAGGCATGCGTGGGGTGGCCTGGACGATCGGCCTGGGCACCATCACAGCCGGTACCTGCTGCAGATCCTGAAACAGGGCGTCACGCTCAGACTCGGTCGTCTTGACGCTCTGCTTGAGGGCCGCGATCTCGGAGTTAAGACCTGAGATCTGCTTCTTGAGCTGGATGTGGGTAGCCTGGTTGGGGAGGGGGGGGCACAGGGGAATACTATGGCTTGCATAGCGACGTACAACACGTGTATGGCCAGAAGTGGTGACCTCAAACCCTGGCACATCCCTCTACCTCTGCTTTGGCTGTCAGAGCCTCCACCCGGCCCTTGAGGACTGCCACTTCCTCGCTGGCAGACGCAAGGTCCGCGGTGCAGGCTGCATCGCCAGCTACAGGGACATCATGCTGCACCTATATGCACCAGAAAGTGATATACGTGAAAATGTATCACTCAAGGGCATGGCAGGCGCAAGCGTCGACCTCGACGTACCTCCACTCCCTCTACATCTTCGTGGGCTGTGACAAAGCTTGGGCCAGCAGCCACGAGCAGGCACACGGCTGCCAGCAGGAGCGGTCGGCGAGTCATGTTGTCAAGAGTTCCGTGAGAAGCTCTTGCGGTCATCCAGGAAGAGGAGCAGGCGTGGCCCTGTCGAGTCCTTGCTAGGTCTCTGCGTCCAACACTCCGGCTCCCTTTCTTGCGCTCGCGCGCCAGAAGAATTCAATACCTCGCGCCCTGACACACGCAGATGATCCTCGGCGATGATGGGTGTCCTGTACGCCGCTGAAGGACCATCCTAGCACCGAGGGAGAGGAATCTGGTGGCTCGCCTCAGCGATGTCGCCGTCGCGAGGCTTGTTTGCAGGGCATCGCGTCCTTTGCACAGCCGTGACTGTCGCGGAGAGGGACCGACTGGTGCAGCATCTGAGGGAGGAGGGTGCCACCCTCATCACCGTTTTTTCGGTGGAATCGCCCCCTGATGTGGTGGTGACGCGATCCGCCCTGGCTACAGGAAGCAGACTGTGCCGCCTCTCTCGCCCCGACATCCCTGCCGTGACCCCCGACTGGGTAACAGCCTGCGTCAGCGCGGGACGCCTCCTGGCACATCATCCTCACCGCCTGCCATGCTTCTCAGGCATGACGATCTGCCTGTCGGGCCTTGGCTCGTCGGAGAAGCAGGACCTGGTCCAGCTGGTGGAGGCACACAATGGGCGGCACTCTGCAGCCCTGGACCGGCGCTGCACCCACCTGGTCACCTGCACCACCCAGAGCGACAAGTACAGGTGTGCGCGTAGTCTTTCCAGCGTGCCGTGACGCGGTGCCTGGGAGGCACTTTGCCCGCCTGGGCATTCGAACCTCGAATGCAGTCGCAGAGTCATGACCCTTCCCACCCCAGGTTTGCCCTGACCCATGACATCGTATGTGTCTCGCCAGCCTGGGTACAGTCCAGTGTTTCGCATGGCTTCTGCCCCCCAGAACTGGACTTCCCATGTTCGGATGAGAACGCAGACCCAAACCCCTCGGCCAGGTGTGTCTGGGATACCCTCTCCGAGAAAAGGTCGGGGGGTGGGAAGTGGTCCATGCAATGCACTCGAGGAGAGCGCACACCATGCTCAACCCCTCCAGCAGGCTTTTATTCTACTGCTGTGCTAGCAAAGGGATTGTCTGGGTGTAGGCATGCTTTCGCCCCGGACAAGTTGCATGAATCCACTCTGGGCCTCTGTCATTCAATACTTTGCTCAGTGCAGCAAAGCAATGACTGCTAGGCACCCTATCGTCATGCAGTTGACTTCTTGCTTCCATCCCCACACAGCATGCTGGAGCAGACCCGCGATGGGAGCGGTGCTGCAGCCCCAACATCAGGCTCTTCCCTGCTGCCGACGAGTGTCCTCCAGCCCAGCAGTCGCCCCCCCGCCCTCTCAGATCCCTCCGCCGGCCCGATGAGCCTGTGCATGGATGCCTGCTACCTCTGGCTGGTGGGGTGTGGGCCTCAGGAGCAGCTGCAGGCGCTGCAGGCAATACGCCGCGTGGCTGCCAAGAGGTTTGCGGCCCCACACCCGCTGCTGACCCATGTCATCGTCGGCGGGGCACTGAGCGACACGGACGCGCGGCGTGTGGCTGCCGTGGCCTCGGGGAACGCCTCGTTGCAGGTGGTGTGCCTAGACTGGCTGCTGGACTGCGTGAAGAAGGGCTGCATCCTGGCATGTAGGCCCTACCACTTCCGAGCCCCTCCTGGAGCAAGAGGGGGAGCCGGGGCGATCGCCATGGTGGGTCGGGGCTGGCTGGGGTCTGGGAGGGATCCCGCCAGCGGGTGGAGAGGGTGCCTGGCGCCCTGGAACCAGAGCCAAGCTCGCTCGTCGCTCCATTCTGTAGGCCGGTATGTCGTCCGGCACGGCGGAGCAGTCGGCGTCGGAGGCAAGCAAGGGCCATGCCGGCATCCTTGTGGGTCGCTACTTTACACTGTCAGCGCTGTGCAACCCGGAGGAGCTTGCGCGGGCCCGCCAAGTGATTAAATCTCAAGGGGGAAAGGTGAGGGTCCAGGGCGTGCCGGAGCCGGCCCGCGAAGACATCCCTGGCCGGGGAGATACCAACACCGAGTATTCTTCGCCTTGATCTGCATCGGGATGCATGGGCAGGACAGGGACCAGCCACAACCCCACCCCCGACAATGCCGGTCCCTCGCAGATATTCCACGAGAGCACGGTCCACACGGTGCCTTCCCGCGAGGTGGCGTATGCACTCTGCCCCGCCAGCCTCACGCATGCGCAGGTCAAGGCGCTCTGCTCTGCCTCCAGTGACTTTACCTACGGTGAGCGGGAAGCAGAGGGGTATCGGGTGGCCAGGGTGGCCGGGCTTGATGAGTGCAGCTGCGCTCACCACTCCGCCGTGGGATGCAGGCATGGTATGCCCTTTGGGATGCCGGATCCAGGAGTCTGGCTGCCATCTGCATGCCGGCGGGGATTGGAGACAGGGGGAGGGGAAGACGGCAGTTCCTGTGAAGTCCTGGGAGACCCAGTGTGCTGGCCAAGAGACATCTTGGTAACCGGGACGCTGACCCTCCCCCTTGCTGCGCTGGTGGTGGCCAGTGCCGGAGGACCATCGTGTGACGTCGTACTGGATGGAGTGCAGCCTGCTGGCAGGCAAGCTCGTGCCGCACAGCAGAGGAGCTCCCTGCTACCGGCCCCTACCCTACCCCTTTCCCCTGCCTGGGGTGGAGAAGCTCAGGTACTGGTGCATGCGCATTGTGCCATTGCGAGGAGGGGGAAGGGGCAGCGAGGGAAGCAATGAGCGCAGTGCCCTGCAGGCAGGCGGATGTAGGCCTCTACTGCGTTCTGATTTGCCAGCCGCATGGCTCTGACCCTCAGCAGCCCACCTCCCGGCGTCTGGTCATGGTCTGCGACCACACCTTGCGTGTGTATCCGCCGCACAACTCCAAGGGCACGACCGTCACAGCCCTCCTGCCCAGGCCCTTATCTCCTGCTCTTGGATTTCCCCATCCCCATCCCCGTCCTTTTGGCCCCGCAGAATCTGCATCTCCGGTTACGACGTGCATGTGCGCTCCGCCATCAACTTTTCAGTCCAGCTGGTGGGTGGCACGCACAGCTCGGAAGCCATGACGCGCGCCAACACACACCTGGTCCTACCAGAGGCCGTGGGTGAGGGGGGTTGGAGGGCGTGCCAGGTGCAGATGTCTCAAACTGGTGGCCTGTGGCCCTGTGCTTGCCGTTTGCCTGGTGCAGCTGGCGAGCAGTGGTTTGACGCCGCACGGAGGCAGAGCCGCCTCATCGGAAGTGCCTGAGCAGATGCATGCCCCGAGCACGGGCCCTCTTGATGCGGCAGGGCCGCCAGGACCCCTGACTCCACACGACCCCTCGCTGCCATGTCCAGGGGAGAAGTACAAGCACTGCGCGGCATTTGGAGTGACGCCGGTGACCGCAGACTGGCTGGTGGACAGCATTACCGCCGGCCTGCTGCAGCCCGAAAAAGAGTACCACCCCGGGAGACGCGCTGCAGCCCAGCCCCCGCTCGCCCACCAGAGCCAGGCGGGGGGCCGGCCGCGCCAGGGTCAATCGCAGGAGCAGTGCGGGGCCGGGGAGGGGAGAGCAAGCCAGGCGTCCAGGAAGCGGGCCGGGGAGGGCGCGCCCGCTGACCTGGGGCCCCTCAACTTGGAGAGTCTGCTGGAGATGACCGAGGGCGGCGCTGGGCATCGTGAGAAGGCAGGCCCGCCCCCCAAACGGTGCGTGCTGGGCGGGCACGGCCGATCGAGGCTGCCGAGGGCCGGAAGCGGGGAATGAGCTGCACGGCTACAGATGATCTGGGGCATCCTGGGCCCCTGGGCTTCTGATCAGCCTCTCGTGTGTGCCTCCCAGACTCCCCATCACGTCTCCAGACAACGTATTGCTCGACAGCCTGCCTCGCAGGTGTTGGTCCAGGGCGGGTGACTGCGGCGCCGCCTCCCAGCCTCTGCAGCCCATCTCGGGCACCGCGCCTGGCGGCACTCCGGGGCCCGCGCCGGGGCTGGACGACGTGGTGGACACCATCTCCTGCATCCTGGAGGACCTGTCCAACTCCCTGCCGGGCGATGGGCCCTCCCAGCACCCACGCTCGCAGGGGCACAGCACACGCAGGGCCGTACCTGCTGGGATGAGTGGCGGACAGGGTGGGCGTGGGAGCGCAGCACCGTCCATGCAGGTGCGGGGGGCGCTGGTGGTGGGGATTCCCTCGTGCATGGCAACGGGGACTACGTCGAGCGACAGGACGCCTGTGTCGCAGGTGCACATGCTCCTGCCCCATCCTTTGTGTCGATGTCACCCCCACTTTCAGGACTGCATGGTGTCCCAGAGTATCGAGTATGGATGCTAGGACGTGCAGGCTCCGAAGAGGGCATGAGCTCGCCTCGTGCTCCACGATGGGGCACTCGCATCTGGGGCGCTGAGCAGCAGGCCGGGCGCAACACTTCCGGAGGCACGGAGTGCTGTGAACGGCATGTGCCCCTCTTATGTTGGACGCCCCTCGCCCCACCGTCAGTGCTTTCTCCCAGGCACCCAGAGCAGACATGTCGCTCGAGCAGAAGGTAATACACAGATGTAACGACAGACCAGACGCTGGACCAGGCTAGATTGGGCTTGGGCAAGGGTGCGTGCAGCACAGGGGCACCATCGCTGGATGGAGAGGGGCTGCATGCGAGTCACTGGCTGTTGCATGATTGTAGAATTCCAGCCTTTGTTGCACTGCCATGGGATGTGACCTGATGTATTACAGAATTCGCCAGGAAAGCATGCTTGTTAAAAGGTCTCGTCACGGGGTGCAGAGATCGGTGTCATCACGGAGCAGGGAAGCCCTGTACATGGGCAAACGGGTTGGAGAGGTGAATGACTCAACTCGGGGCAGGGATTTCTGGCAGGTGGTGCATCATAGGGGTGGTCGCGGCCATGGCTCGAGCTAGAGTATAGAGCTTGGTGGCCATAATGGTGATGTTGCCAGTGGAGGTGGAAATGGGTGCTCACGCACCAAGCACCATCACCTAAGACGGCGGGGGGGGAGGTTGGGGGTCTTGGGGCGGGGGAGGGGACTCAGGTGGTGGTGGTGACTGAGGCGGGGGAGATGAAAGAGGAGGGGAGGGGGGGCGCGGAGGGGGTGGTGACCGAGGGGGTGGTGGTGACCGAGGAGGGGGTGAGGGGTTTGGAGGGAAGGGAGGAGGGGGGGGAGATGGCGGAGGGGAGGGCGGGGGAGAGGTCGCTACCAAGGTGAGCAGTACGAAGTCGGAGTGCTGATCAGGCGGTCCAACGACCGTGGCACTCACCTTTGCATACGCGAAGAGCTTAGCGACAACGGTGGTCGCCATGTTTGTATCTTGAGTCACGGCAGACGTGGGGTTTGCAGTGTATGTTGCCAGCACAGTGTTGTCGGATGCAAACATCACCAGTGTCAGAGAACTAGCTGTGTAGCTCCCAGTGTCGATGGTGTAGTGGAACTCGATGTCAGACCAAGCAAGGGTGCCGGTGGGGGGAGAGAGGGCTGGGCTGGGTGGTGATGGCGGGGGAGGGGGTGGGGGTTGAGCGCTGGGGGCAGCCACGCACACCGCCATGACCGTGTCGGTGATACGGTCTGCGCAGAGCGTGAGGACACTGGTGCTCGGGAAGCTGGTGCACTTGCCGCAGATGGGGAACACCTGGCTCTCGCAGGTGAGGAGCGTGGGGCTGGGGCCAGAGGCGCAGTAGGCCGTGAGGGAGTCGTCGTAGCAGATTGTTGGGACGGCGGTGCTGTCGTCGCACACTCCCTTGCTGTTCACGGGTGTGTAGCCAGCCGCACATGCATGGATGGCGGGGACCGGAGGCGTTGGCAGCCTGGTGAGCATGACCACCGTCTGTTGGGCAAGGTCCGCTGACATGGTCGTTGCGGTCGCAAAACTGAAGTCGGACTTGTAGGTCAAGTCTGTGTTTGCAATGGCAGTCGTGTAGGAGAATGAGTCATCGTCTGGAGACATAAAGGTACCGAAATATGGTATGTAGTATGCATCATACAGCTGGAAGGATATCATGAAAGGGCGGAAGTTGGTGGTCACACTGAAGGTGACAATCACTGGCACAACGCTTGAAGAACTGAACATGACTGTGCCCTGAGCTGTGTATGCAGGTGGCGGAGGGGGGTTGGGCGGAGGTGGAGACGGTGAGGGGGGAGGCGGCGACCGCCAGGGCGGGGGAGGGGACTGCCTAGGTGCGGGAGGGGATTGTCCGGATGGGGGAGAGGAGCGCATTGGAGGTGGGGGAGACTGTCTGGGTGGAGGCGGAGCCCTCCGGGGTGGAGAAGGGGACCGTTTGGGGGGGGAGGGGATCGCCTGGGTGGAGGAGGGGACCGTTTAGGGGAGGGAGGGGATCGCCTGGGTGGAGGAGGGGAGCGACTGGGCGATGGCGGTGATCGCTTTGGTGACGGCGGCGGTCGTTTGGTTGACGGCGGTGGTTGCTTGGGTGGCGGCGACGGCGGTCGCTTGGGTGGAGGTGGTGGCGGCAATGATGTTCTGGGAGGTGGGGGTGGCTCTAGCAGGCTGATGGCACGCTCACGAAAGTCTGTCAGCTTGCAGTCGTTGACCACTTTGCGGTCTCCCACTTTGTCAAAGCAGCGGTTGCTGGTCCCCCTGTTATTATCTCCCCAGTTGGAAGAGCCTGTGTTTCTGTTCCCTGCATGATCAGGTATGGGAGGCGGTGTTACCTGCACACCGCCGCAGGCGGTTCAACATAAGATGTCCGCATCCGAACCTCCCCACTCACCAATGTTGTCGTCTCCTACATTGTTGGTGCCAAAGTTGCGCTTGCCCCTGTTGCCGGATCCGATGTTGCCATTGCTATCTGCTGTGCAAGCCGTCTGCCCAGGCTTGAGGCACTCCACCGCCACAATCACTTTGGTAGAGCGGGGCGTCACCAGCTCTGTCGGACTGATGCGGACGGCACTCATAGACAGACCCAAAATATTCAGGGTCGACGTCCGCACACTCCCCGCCTTGCTAAAGCCCTTCCGCCTATTGGTAGGATGAGGGGAGGTTTGAAAGTGAGGGCGACTGTCACAAGTTGTCATTGCAATCCGCATTCTTTTGTAGTGTTATCACCCGGCGTTCAGAATCATCCGCAGACACTTTTATGCAGTGTTCCTCGATTTCTGTCCTTCCTCCTACTTGCAGTAGGCGGTGGCACTGTCCTCAGTCAGAAACTCGACATGGGAACCCAGTCTGCATGGGTGTGTATGAGTGAGCTGTAAGGGAGCATTCCGATACAAATGGCCTCAGTAAGGACTCATGGGAACCATGCAACGCCTACACGCAGGCAGCCCACCGGATGCGTACGGGAGAGATGCCGGACGCTTGCTCGGCTACCATTCCCGGCGACCATCCACCCACCTACAACTCACATGGCACTGGGAAGAGCAACAAACGTCGAGTCGCAGGCTCCCTGTGGGTTCGAGGAAGATTTGGCGACTGCGAAAGCCCTCTGTGGTGGAAATTGGCTGCAGACACTCCTTCCCCTCGCAAGCCCGTAAGGCAAAACTCTCTCACCGAAATGATAGCAGCACCAGACAGGATGATGAGCGCGGCTACAATAACCCGATTATATGTCTGCCTCCCCATCGCGGCAAGATTGGGGCCCTTCTATGACTCTTGAAATTCTGCAAGCGTTTGTGTCCCAGAGGTTCCTGCGAACTCGGTTGTCACTAAACTGCCGTCGCAGGGTACTGTGTCTTCTTACAAGTCCAGGAGACGAGTGATGAGAATTGCTGTGAACTTGGATAGATGTACTCCCCCGGCAAGGTATGTTGAAGAAATGATCCGGCTGCGGACCGGACGGCAGCTAAAGGTACCGCCGGGAATTCTCCAGGATCAGACGGAAGTCGCGATCTGCTGTTCCACGAACGCACGGTGAAAATTGTGTATCTACTGTAGTTTCGAAGATGCCGGTATTCTATATTTAGGTTTCATCACCAAGAATGGTCTGCTGTAGCTCAAGGTGAGGTTAAGGGGTTGCACGGTTACTAGGCCACAATTTGGGGAAACCCCGGTTTTCGTTTTCGGGCCCTTTT